ATGATTCTTTTCTATTTTATTCTTTTTACCAGGCGTGGGCCATCCCCTGGATTATCAAAATGGGTGCCTTATTATTTTCAATAATAGCTATGAAAAGTATGAATGCCGCAGACATCACCACGCAACATGACAATTTGTTCAAGGTTTGGTTTTGTGTGTTTCCAAAATCGATTTTCACGTTCCGATCATCAGTGGAAATACGGAACTAAAGAGATCAAGGGAAAAACAAAGGTTAAAAATCCAAAGAAGTGTGACACATGACGGGTAACTTGTGGTAAGTATTACAAAAAGTGAGAACTAAAATAAAGAGTAAGTGTGACAAACGGGCATGAACAGTGCAGAAACAACTCATGAACACGGGGTGCAAACTGACGAAAATAACCTAAGTGCTAAAACATGTTCTTTTTGCTTACACAAATCGGGCTTATGCGTACGAATACAAACAGCTTCAAGGACCTTCAACTGCTGGACATAACGGGCACGACACAGTACAGAGAAGTGGGAATCATCATACACACTCAAACAATCGGGACGAGATAACAAATGCAAATACACAGCTGACTTCTTACGAATTTCACCCTCATCAGCTCCATCACCTTCCCTGCCACCTGACTCCTCCTCGTCCGTTTTATCACCATCACCACCAGCCGTCTCATCGTCATCCGCCTCGTCTTCATCCGCCGCCTCGTCATCACCCGCCTCGTCGTCATCTGTATCCTCGCCGTCATCCGCCTCGTCGTCATCTGTATTCTCGTCATCCGCCGCATCATCACCCAACTCATATTCACCACCAGTCAGTCGTCTGATACCATCCATGTTCTCCTTCCTACGTCTGTCCCGTGCCACTGTCCTTACCTCATCTACGTCCCGATATTGTGTTCCGTTTTGCCCCCGGCTTCCGGTCTCCTTCGATGCTCCGCGTGGGCCTTGGCCATTCCTAGCATATATTTCTGTTGAATAATTGGCGGTCGACCTCCGTGGTCTCTGGACACACGGATCAAGCGCTGGAGGGTGCTGCGGTGTCCGCACAGCCGGATACTGCGTCAAAGAAATGGGATCAATTTCTGTGATTGGCGGTACTGTCGTTGTTGCCGACTCCTCCCCAACCCCAGCCACCAACGGCACTGGTGGTGGCTCCGGTGGCGGCAAGGGCAACGGTGGAGAAGGCACATTCGGTTGGCTTAGTGATCCACCACTCTTCCTCTGCACCGTGTGTTCGACTTGCTCTGGTTGTGTCGGTGGTAGAGGCGCAACGGTCATAATGAGCCGAACAGAGTACATATCAAAAATGGCGGTAATCCTGAATGATGACTCCAAGTTCGTGAAACTCGGACCAGTTTCCACTCATGATAATACAACAAAAGTAGAGAAACGCATGATAACATACCTAGAAATTGAAATCTGAGAAAGAAATTTCGGTCTCAGAGTTCATGAGAATCAAGCCAATAGGCTCCGCCCGCCCGCGACTCTATGGCTTGCCAAAGATCCATAAGCCGAATTGTCCATTACGCCCAATATTATCAATGGTAGCATCCCCACAGTACAAAGTATCGAAGTGGCTTTGTTTGATGCTTGGAGCTGTGCAAGATTATTACTGTAAGAACATTGTCAAGGATAGCTTCCAGTTTGTAGACCTCATTCGCACTCACCAGATTCCCGCTACAGCGCACATGTGCTCATTTGATGTGGTCAGTTTGTTCACGAATGTACCGTTGGAACAGACCATAGATATTTGTGCGGATGTTCTCTATCACAATAACTCTGTTGACACGCCATGGCTGCCTGAATCCTCCTTCCGTACACTGATGTCTCTTGTTACTACGGGCGTTGAGTTTTCATTTGATAACGTGATGTGAAGGCAGGTGGATGGGGTAGCCATGGGATCACCATTAGGTCCAGTGTTGGCAAATGTATTTGTTGGCTACTGCGAATCTCTTGTGGACCAGTCACTGTGGCCGGAGTTTTACGTTCGTTTTGTCGACGACTCGTTCACATATTTTGATTCAGTACAACAGTGTGACGCCTTCTTGGACCGATTGAATAACTTACACCCCTCTCTGAAATTCACGGTTGAGCATGAACAGAACAACACCTTGTCCTTTCTAGATGTGCGTGTGGAGAAGTCAAACGATGAAATTGTAACGTCAATACACAGGAAACCAACATTTACCGGACAATATAATTATCGTGTTTGACTCGTATTGTTCGTACCTGTATAAGGTCAACCTGGTGAAGAATCTGGTGGATAGAGCGCGGCGAATCTGTTCCCCCTCTCGACTCAAGGATGAGCTAGGTTTTCTGAAATCTGTGTTTCTCAAAAATGGTTACCCGGAGGAACTGCTAAACAAGCTACTAAAATCAGCATCAAAACCAAAGGTCGTCATCATAGGTCCAAGTCGTTGCCCAGTCTACCTTTCCTTACCTTGGAAAGGAGAGGCATCACAGACATTGTGCCGCACAATCAAAACGCTAGTTACACAAACATACTTTGCGGCGCACTTCATCCCTGTGTTCACTACGATACGTGCGTTCACGGTGAGGAAGGATGTGCTACCATCTCACCTATTGAGCCACTTGGTCTACCAATTTGAGTGCCGGAATTGTGATAGCCGGTACGTTGGTAGGACCCTTCAACACCTGAGCGCACGTATCAAGCAGCATGTACCACTTCACATGCTGCCGGACGCAGCAAAAGCGAAGCGCCCGAAGCGGGGAAGACGACGCAAGAACCCGCTCCCTCTACCACCGACACAACCAGAGCAAGTCGAACACACGGTGCAGAGGAAGAGTGGTGGATCACTAAGCCAACCGAATGTGCCTTCTCCACCGTTGCCCTTGCCCCCACCGGAGCCACCACCAGTGCCGTTGGTGGCTGGGGTTGGGGAGGAGTCGGCAACAACGACAGTACCGCCAATCACAGAAATTGATCCCATTTCTTTGACGCAGTATCCGGCTGTGCGGACACCGCAGCACCCTCCAGCGCTTGATCCGTGTGTCCAGAGACCACGGAGGTCGACCGCCAATTATTCAACAGAAATATATGCTAGGAATGGCCAAGGCCCACGCGGAGCATCGAAGGAGACCGGAAGCCGGGGGCAAAACGGAACACAATATCGGGACGTAGATGAGGTAAGGACAGTGGCACGGGACAGACGTAGGAAGGAGAACATGGATGGTATCAGACGACTGACTGGTGGTGAATATGAGTTGGGTGATGATGCGGCGGATGACGAGAATACAGATGACGACGAGGCGGATGACGGCGAGGATACAGATGACGACGAGGCGGGTGATGACGAGGCGGCGGATGAAGACGAGGCGGATGACGATGAGACGGCTGGTGGTGATGGTGATAAAACGGACGAGGAGGAGTCAGGTGGCAGGGAAGGTGATGGAGCTGATGAGGGTGAAATTCGTAAGAAGTCAGCTGTGTATTTGCATTTGTTATCTCGTCCCGATTGTTTGAGTGTGTATGATGATTCCCACTTCTCTGTACTGTGTCGTGCCCGTTATGTCCAGCAGTTGAAGGTCCTTGAAGCTGTTTGTATTCGTACGCATAAGCCCGATTTGTGTAAGCAAAAAGAACATGTTTTAGCACTTAGGTTATTTTCGTCAGTTTGCACCCCGTGTTCATGAGTTGTTTCTGCACTGTTCATGCCCGTTTGTCACACTTACTCTTTATTTTAGTTCTCACTTTTTTTGTAATACTTACCACAAGTTACCCGTCATGTGTCACACTTCTTTGGATTTTTAACCTTTGTTTTTCCCAAAAAGTATTCTTTCTAGACCAAAGAGTGGTATATTTGATAACATTTAATAACGATAGAAAATTTTACGATACTTCTCCAGACGTTTCGTTGTTCTGAACAACATCGTCAGTGGATAAACATTCTTTATCCACTGACGATGTTGTTCAGAACAACGAAACGTCTGGAGAAGTATCGTAAAAATTTCTATCGTTATTAAATGTTATCAAATATACCACTCTTTGGTCTAGAAAGAATACTTTTTGATATTACAATGAGGGTGAATAATCAACGGCTTGTCCACCAAGGCACCAACTCTTTGAATTTGTTTTTCCCTTGATCTCTTTAGTTCCGTATTTCCACTGATGATCGGAACGTGAAAATCGATTTTGGAAACACACAAAACCAAACCTTGAACAAATTGTCATGTTGCGTGGTGATGTCTGCGGCATTCATACTTTTCATAGCTATTATTAAACTTTTATCTCCACGTAGATTATTTGTATACTTATTATTTTCCTTTTTTCTTTTTTTCTTTTTCTGTTTATTCTTTTACCAGGCGTGGGCCATCCCCTGGACTATCAAAAAAAAAAAAAAAAAAGTTTCGGTTCATGGTGCATGCGGTGGGCGCATGCAGCCAACACGCCTCCAAAGCAGGGAGTCGTAAAATTACGACTCCCTGCTCCAAAGCAACAACGCATGTTTAGCAGTTGTGGAGAAATCACGTAGAGCGAAACCCAACAACTCTGATTTTTACGTATGAAAATTCCGTGCAGTTCCTCATCAGGGCCTAGGCCCCTAGCTAGGGCCTAGGGCTCTACAAAAAAGTAGGGAGTCGTAAAATACGCATTTTACGACTCCCTGGCCCTGCTTATCTCGCCATTAAAGTTTTTTTTTTCTTTTTTTTCTAGCTTTTGGAAGCCGCATGCAACTTTTTTTTTTACAACTTGTACAAATTTATTGATTGAGTAATTATACTAAAAATGTTTGGCACCTATGATCAGGGGCGCCGGGCCCCGGGCCCGGGGGATGGCCCACGCCTGGAAATAAGAGGTTCTGTGTTCCGGCTCTCCGCCTTCTCCGCGAACATAAGAGAACTAGTCTAGAGTAGAGGAGAACCAGGGAGTCGTAAAATACCGGTATTTTACGACTCCCTGAGGAGAACAAACAAACACAAGAAGTGATGACGTCAAAACGGCAAAAAAATGATTGAAAATTAATTCTTAGTACAGGAAACATTTTTCACCTCTATCATATCAGATAATTCTATACACACTCTGTGAAGGTGGTGAATTACATTGTGCTGTGGTTAGCTTCGAGCAGAACCTGTAAAGATAGCTGTTCGCCTGGCCTGGTGCCACAGCGACAATGCCGATCGGAGTAGCCGGAAAACGAATTGGGCCTCAAATCCAGTTCCCTAAATCGCTTGGGCACCAGCGAAAAACTAGGAAGATCAGGTACAAGTACTATGCAATTGTAAGTAGCATATCTCCTCCTCGTACAGTACTGACCTAGGTCTTGTGCGCAACAAAGCCTCGATGTACCCCGTTCTATAATTACTTCACATGCACAGCACTCAATGCTAGCTGTTTCCATCTCATCAGTGGAGCTCAGAGTTATGACGTGACTGGCCAAACCCATTGCAATGAAGGAGGTCTACTAGACAACAAAGGATTTTTTGAATCGCCCCCAAACCCCGCCGTCAGGGTGCCTGAACGGCGAGAAATACAGCGAGCGTCGCAATAACTCAAACATACACTGTATTCTCATCAAAACGATTCCTCAAACTTATGAATAAATGATTCTTCAAACTTATGAATATCAAAGTGAGATTAATAAATTTAATGATAGCACATGAAGAGGTTGTAGATGAAGCTGGTTGCTCCTATGTGGTGCTCACGTCCTGCCAAAGTAATTGGCACTGGAATGACTCATCGCTGCGATCTGGAGTACACGAGGAACACGCCGAACCGTCGACTCTGCAAGCCAGTGCAAGAATCCAAACAAGGCCCATCTAATAGGAAAGCACTATTACCAGCTCAATGTAGAGTGTTGGGGGGGGGGGGATTCAGCCCTCATCAGTTGAGCTTGAGTGCATTGCTTGTCATAATTCTGCACCACACCATGCGGCATTTGTGTTGTAGATTCGTGTGGAAATTTGGTGTTTCAAGACAGGGAGACGCACTGTTTTCCAAGTGCAGTCTTCTGTTTCTTTTATCTAAGCAAGTACACTCTTGCCTCTTTCTTTATCGATTTGCTCCCCCCCCCCCTTGTGTTCTCTTATGTGGCCTTTATTGTTAGCTGAAGTGGTGATCATTTGTATGTCTGCCATGTTTCCAGGCCCTGAGAGGAAAGGTGAGAACTGCTTACCGGATCGGTCAGATTGCAGTCAGGAGACAAATGGTGAAAGCGACTTATGCCAGGAAAGTCAAGAACCGTGATATGCGCCTGGTGAGTTTGCCTTGTTTTTTTGAGCCTGCCTGCCCTATACGCGGTTTGTAATATGTTTGAATAGGTTGCATTTACAATTGAAGAGCTGGAATGCAAAACCCGATAAATCCATTTCATCACTTTTCGGATAGTGGCCAAAAGAGGATTCATCTTATATGCGGTTTTTATCTACAATTCTACATGTAAATCCATACTTGGGTTCCAGTTTTGAAATGGTTCTAGATAATGAAAAAAATAAAAACAGTAAAAATGGTGGCACGTTTGTGTGTAAACACAGCCTCGGAATGCCTGTAATAACCTCCCTCTCCGTTGTAAGAATTGTAGGATGTGCAGCACTAATCCTCTGTCTCGTATGTGTGTGTGTGTGTGTGTGTGTGTGTGTGTGTGTGTGTGTGTGTGTGTGTGTGTGTGTGTGTGCGTACGTACGGTGTTTGTTCTTACTCCCGTGCTCTCTGCTTGGCGGGGGTGACATGTGCTATTCAGCTTGCCATCAACAGGATTACAGCGTCGCTGCGCGACCACAGTGTGGGTTATCCACCGTTCATGGACAGCTTATCACGGGTAGGTTGCAGTTGATGCCGGAGTTTTTCTGTGCACTCTGCGTTCAACTTCATGTGATGACTGTGCGCTAAGGAGCTCTGCTTTCCTGATCTAAGGGTGCATTGGAATTTTCTCTAGCTTCTCGTAGAAAGTTCTCCTGACAGTCAAAGAAATTGGAATTTTTTAGAAACTGGTCTCGAAGAATTCGGAAATATTTTGAACATTCGTAGCGCTAAAGGAGCCGCGATCTTGAGTGACACGAATGTAGTACGCACTGTGCGTAGCAACAGAAAAGATGCTTCTGATAAAAATGTGGCTTTTGGCAGTAATCCACATGCGTTGACCCCAAAACCGCGGGAATCTCCAAGTTTCAGCCACCTTTGAAGCTCGGAGAGCTTTGGAGAATCTCCTAAAATTCAGAGAGGATATGAGAATAGTTCTTTAACTTTTCGGAGAGTCTCGAACTTGTCCGAATGGATTTTATAGAATTAGAACGCACTCTAAAAGTCTGCTCTCACGTATACCCATATGGGTGTTGGGGTGGTTGCGGGTGGGTCCTTTGTCTGTGTGGAAGGGGGGGGGGGGGGGAGGTACTAATTACAGTGCAAGCCTGCCAAAGGTGAAGTGCTCAAGGCATGCCCAAAGCCTTATCCTCGCGCCCAGGTGTTCTATTCCCCTTGGATCCTTGCTGCAACAACAGTAGCTTGATGTTTATGTGTATCTCTGACCATGCACAGCACAACATAGTCCTCAACCGCTTCATGCTAGCAGAACTTGCCATATCAGAGCCACGCACCTTTCGCGTAAGTATCTCTCGCTGGAGCTGGTGTTTTTGCTCTAGCACAAAACACGAATATGAAGTATTCTACGGGTGGACAGTTGCCTGATGTTCTCCTCTTGGACAGTTGACAACGTACTGCCCCTACCATTCAGGCAACAACATGCTCTGGCACTGGCTACTTCAGCAGCCACATCCAGATATATTTGGTTCCAAGTGTGTGTGTGTATAGTGTATAGTGTAGCACGCGTGTTTGATTTGGGCTCTGCACGCATGGTATGGCGACTTTTAGTTGTAGCTGCAATGGCCTTGTATAATCCCTTGATAGTAGGGCTGAAACGATCGTAGATTTTCACGTATCGATTACTCTTTAGCTTAACGATCGAGTAATCGATTATAATCATGAGCAAATAGTGTCATAATTCTGTGCAAGCATTACTCTGTTTCCACAAACTATGCCTTCATAATACCAACAAATCTGCATTAGTGAAAAAAACGCAAAATAATCGTAATCGGTAATCTAAACGATTGCTCGATCATTAGAGTTATCAAACGAGAACTCGATTATTCGGTATAATCGTTTCAGCCCTACTTGATAGACAATGTAGAACTGCAGTGGTGGCGACTGAAATCCGACCCCTGATTTCCGTGTTCAAGTGCAGCACCGATTCTAGCAGCAGTCTCTACTTCGTACTGTTACAAGCGCGTGCTGGGTCTTTGCAACGTGAGCGCACCGCACCGACTAGGGGTCGGATTTCAGTTGTCACCGCTGTAGAAGTCATACATCAGTTGTCACCGCTGTAGAAGTCATAATTCTTTATGACGTGTTTGTATAACTGTAGCTCACTCCAGAATCCATATCACAGTAGAACCCGAGCTACACATACCCAAAACAGCCCAGAATCCATATCACAGTAGAACCCGAGCTACACATACCCAAAACAGCCCTTGCCCTACTAATCGAGCGGAATCTTGCAGAGAAAACAAAACAGATGGATGAGCAGCATGAGACAACAACACAACCAGAAGCATAACAGTTACATGTACTGGCTTGTAATTTCTAGTTTCCTCTGCTCTCTTTTCTGAATGCACGATCAGGCGCTGTCGGAACTGTCCCTTGAACGTAGCACGGCCGGTCTCAACGACGCTGCCTTCTTTGACGGACACAAGCAGTCTCGCATCATTGTACAGGGAGAACGACCAGTGCGACCAAGGCTAAACCGAAACAAAGTGTGGGTAGAAGCGAAGAAGTATGAAGGCAACCCCTTCTATGACGACCGAAATAGAAACAGGAAGAAGCCCGTCGCGCATCGAACTTCCCGCGTGGGAAACTTTAACTACGCGCCACTCACAAGCGAGGTATGAGACACTCTTTTGCTCCGCCTTGGTTTGTGCCTGCTGTTTTACATAGTGCATCTGTTGCTGTTGTACATAATGAAGGTTTCTGCAGGGTCTTCCTTCGTCCTCTAGGTACACCAAATCCATGCGTGTCGGTGTAAATATGTTAATATTGAAACTCGGAAAGTTGCTGTCTTTATCATTGGGACTAACTCTTGTTATTATTATTATTACATGTTTGACTATTGCTGTCATTCTTGATTGTTTCGCTATTGATTCAACTTTGTACAGAATGAATGATGGTGTTTTTTTCATACTACTAACAGTAACATACTGTAGATGAACTTAGAGTTAGTTGCACCAAGAAGCATCAACTTCATATTGTAGATGATCTACAATAGCATGTTGTTCAGGATATTGCTATTGTTGTGGCTGTGCTGTTGCTTCTGCAATAACACCAGCAGTAGAAGCAGAAGCAGCACAGGATGATTGGGTTTCAGTACACTTGTACTGGTGGGTCAAGGATAAAGGATTGCTACAGGCGCATCGCCGCGTAAGTCACAAGGTTAAATTCTGGGCTCAGCGCCACGGCGTTAGCACTGGCATGCCTGGGCTAACATGTCCCATGCTCCCGCTGTTACAGGTATGTCTTGGGGTCTTCGTCGTCCTGGCCCCCGCAGAATGACTGTGTGTCGCTCTCCTTGACAGTGGTTGACCGCATCATTAGAGAGCGGCGTGTGATGAGCATGGGCTGTGTCGGGCCCAGGATGAAGTTCTGCTGCGGCTCGTAATCCGTCTGAAAGTCCCCGGCTATTATATGCTCAATGATACCAGTATCTGCATTCTCTATGTTGCCAGCAGCAGCTGTGTTAGCAGCATCAACGGCTGCTACTACCTCCACTTCCGTGTGGCTAGCCGTAGTGGACGAGGGTGCCTGTGACGAAGAATGCCGTCGCAGGTGAACCGGTCTATTGTCGCCGGGGGGTACCTGTGGTATGGCCGTCTGGCTCTCCTCTCTCAACGACGATTGCAGGGAGAGTGATGGACTGCCCCGCGCGTACCTGTAGCACAGATCAAGCAGAGGGTTATAAACTGATTGCTGACACGTTGAAACAACATTGCTTTCCTTGCACGCTGCTGTGCATTGCAGCACTAGCTCACAGCTACCGCATTTCCCCCAATATAAGTCACTCTCCCTTCACAGTAAGCCACGAGGCCGAAGAAGTGGATGCTGCTTACAATCAAGGGTGACATATTTCCAAAGCCTGGTTCATACTTTGTTTCGTGTACGGGAAACACAACGCCTGTCGTCGTGAAAAAGTTGAAAGGGACGCATAGATACAAGTTATGAGTAACTGTCCACCACTCTGACTAGTTACGTATGACTCGTATCTATGCATCCCTTTCTTATTTCTATTTACACTGGCTCAACATCTGAGTATCAACTTTTCGATTGTAAGCCGCACAAAAGAGAGGAAGGTGACCTTGCCGTGTGCATTTGAAGCGCTTCCCATACACGAAATGTACGAATCACTCTACAACACAACCAGCTTAGAGAAGTTTTGCTTGTGCCAGGCCACCAGCATGCCTGATTATACCAGGGTGGCAGATGCAGGGCCATAAACGGTGAGGGTGAGGTGGTAAGTCTCACAAGCAATGCCCAATAAGGGGACGAACCTTGTTAGCTGCATCTATGCTGTCCCTCCAGGAAATCGCGATTCCACGGATGCAACAAATTTCGCGATTTTCGCCCAAACCCGCGATTTTCAGCAAAATCCGCGATTTCCCCCCGTTTTTTTGTTGTTTTCTGCACTATATCTCACTTTTTTATGCACTTTTCACGCAGTGCTTTCCATGATCCTGTAGGTTATTTGCACAGTACGACTCGTACTACTCCCGAGTAGATATACGATGCAACAAATTTCGTGATTTGGCCCAAATCCGCAATTTTCTGTAAATAATTCCGCGAATTCCTGGCAAGTTCTGCATCATTCCGCACTTTTCTTCGCATTTTTGTTGTTTTCTGCCGCAATTTCTTGCACAAGTTTTCGAGAGTTTTTTTCCGCAAATTCCCGCAGGGACAGTCTATGTAAACCTACGCAAGAGACTTGAAAATGCGGGTGCGACTTATAATCGGGGAAATACGGTTAACACAGAATGCTGGCCGGTGTTACCAACCTTGATCCAGCATATATACACACTGTGGGCCATCTTTGCAGTGATCCTTGCATCACTCTACCATGTAGACTGCTCGCTATCGAATGAACCCTGGTGTTATCCTATAAGGTTGCAGTGTGATCCTGACAGGTTGCATACACACAATGACACTGTCTTACTGCTATGCACCTACCGTATTTCCCCGGTTATAAGTCGCACCTTTTTACACTAAAATTCAGGGTAAAAAAGGGGGTGCGACTTACAATCGAGCATGACTTACTACTGAAGTGAATATATCGCAACAATATTGCTCAAACCTGAAAATGGGGGTGCGACTTATAATCGGGGAAATACGGTATACACAATGACACTGCCTTTCTGCTATGTGCATACACAATGCCTTTCTGCTATTTGGATAAGTACATGGTGTGCATGTGTCCCAATCTAAGCCTGCCTTACATGTGTGGTGCCGTACTGGAGGACTCTATGGATATGCGGCTGGACAGCTGGGGCCGGGGGCTGTGTGGTACATCCGGCGATGTCATGTCCTCGTGACCGCCGCCGCCACCTGGAAGAGTGCCTGCGGGTGTGTATGCTGATACAGGCGATGATAGTATCGGGTTGCTGAAGAGACGCTGATGGTGGTTAGTGGTGGGCGTATTCGCCTGCTGCTGCTGCTGCTGGTGGTGGTGTTGATGGTGAAGATGCCAGTGTTGACTGGATAGAGAGCTGGCCACCTCGCTGCTGGTACTGCTGTGTCTGCTGCACCACGGCCGCCATACAGCATGGTGTACGCACACGCACGTGCACAACACACACACACACAGACACACACCATTCAAAAGCAGGTCAAGCACATTATAGAGATATGTGGAGGAGGTTGGGTCATGGTAGATATGGAGAGCCAGGAGCACACCCACTTACTGAGTACCCGTACATAACACTACATATGACATTGTAAAGTAATGCAAGGGTACCCAGCCGACTGGACTCCTTCGCCATGTCACAAGTTTCATAGGCTGGTCAGTTAATGGTGCCCTGTCTGTAGGTATTATTTACTGCTTGTGAATAGGTATACTCCTACCACAGATGGCGTATCGCACAAAGGCAGGGCGTGGGCATGGCTATACTGCTATTCAGTACCTCTAATTCTAAGCCTACACCGACCACATCAACCGTCAGGATCAATGTGTACTCCTTGAATACTGTCAGACCTCTTTCACCTGGCACCCTCGATTTCCAGCCGTGGTGTTTTCAAGAAACAGGTCATTGCCAGTCATTTCTATTTTTTTGTATTTTTTAATTTTTTAAGAAAAGGGTTTGCTCCCCACACCGGAGCTCGCGCTATTCCGCCGACTTTACTTGACACTTGACTGACTAACGACTGCCATCCAGAGCACACGAGAAGTCCATCGAACCTTTGACTCGGCAAACCTGCAAGAAAGCACCACTCCCTGCTCAATACACAGTGTTTCGGGGAATTCACCCCTCATCAGTTGAGCTTGAGTAGGCTGAGGAAGATTGTGCCTGAAGAGCACCACTTATATAGTGCTCTCCAGGCACAAACAAAGTCGGCGGAATAGCGCGAGCTCCGGTGTGGGGAGCAAACCCTTTTCTTACAAATCATCGCCGAAGTCGCAACCACTACTTTTAATTTTTTACCACGTTAATCTTTCAAAAAAGTGCCAAATGGATACAAGTGGACTAGAGAGGTGTTACTGTACTACTGCACTGCTCTATATCAGAAATACATGTAGAAGTATTGAAGAGAGCCAGTGCTGTATGATATAACTAAGGTGCGTAACTGTTAGTGCTTAGTAGTACTGCTTACCCAAGGTGTGTGCTGGTATCAGCTAATTCATTGCTGGTCTTGGATAGAGTGGAGTATGGCGTCAACTCGTCCAGTCCACTGTCCGGCGTGTAATAGTGCTCGGCACTGGATGGCAGCAGTAGCTGTGCACTCCTCGCCTTCTCCGGGCTGCTGCTGCTTGGACTACTACCACTGCCCTTGTGCAGCACTGGCTGCTGATGATGCTGGGAATGGTCGGACTCCGGGACGCCGGCGTCCGACTCGCTTGTCGTCATCAGCTCGCTCGCAGAACGAGCGTGCATGTCCGATGCGTTCCTGTCGATGATTTCTTGCCGAGCGACTGAATCGAGATTGTCGTAGTCGTGTGCCTTGTCAGGGCTGCTGTCTGGCGTAACCTGATCAATGGTGTCGTAGTCATTGTGCACATTCTCCTCAACTCTAACCCGACCGTATGGATTAGTGTCTGTACTAGCCATGGACAGCGTTCGTGTCATTCGCTTATTGTCTAAGCGACTGTAGTCCTCCTCTTCTAGTTCTAGCTCATGGTCTTCCCGGACAACTGGCTGTGAACTCAGCCCGGGGTGGCGCTGCAGGGATGCGTACGCGCCGGACGTGGCTGTCATAGTCGAGGACTGAGTGGACGGCTGCAGAGTGGACACATCGCTGGCCAGCTCGTTCTCCAGCAGGCGTGGCATGCCGACCGGCCCCAGTGTGGCGTACGGCCCGGACAGGGTCGTGGACGCTGACTGCCCGGAGCTGGTGTTCCTTCCTGTGCCACTACTTTCGCTGGTCATAGTTTGAAGCGGTGTGCCGTCCATGTCGGACTCGGTGTCACTCAGAGTACTGCCAGCGGTTGCACGCCCATCTGCTAATAAAGTGGAGGCCGACGGCATTGCATCCTCTTCCTTGACAGCTGTGAAGTTCTGCGCCACGGGCACATCTGATTTCAGCTGCAATTCTCTGGACTCGTACCACTGCGATGAAGATGATGAAGGTGACGTAGCGGTCGTATCTGCGACAGCAGGTGATGTCTCTGATCTCACATTAGCTGCAGAGACAGTGGATGCCTCGCTCGCCGCTGACATTACACCAGGTGACGACGGCACATTCTCGTAGTTGTCTCTGGCCTGCAAGCGTGCACCCTGATCCCCTGCAGTCCCACCACCACCGCCACCATTGGAGAAGGACTTTAGCAGGGTGGACGTGGGAGCGACGGGGCTGAGTGTTACGTTTTCGTAGCGCCCCGCCGGACCGCCAGACGGCGATAGCTGCAGCTGGACATTCTCGTAGGACTGGTCCTGTTGGGTCGGCGTTGTTGCTGCTGCTGCTGCGGTGGGTGCATCCGGTGCTTGGAGTTGTATGAATGGCTGGTCGTTGTTGGTGGGCTGCACATTCTCGTATGCCGCCACTCTCTTACTCTGCAGGTGATACGGACCAGGCTGCTCCAGATCATCGCTGTCCGCAGACAGCGCTGACTGATGACTGCCTGTGGAACTGCATGAGGAGCTGCTGGTGCGAAAGTTCGAGTCACGCGGTGCCAGCGTGGGCACGAGCAGCTGTGGACTTGTGCTGAGCATGGGAGTGACATTCTCGTACGTAGCACTGGACAAGCACAGGAGCACAGCGTACCATTACATCCTAGAAATTGAAAATGTGTTTTTACTTTATTAAGTTAACACAGTCATGGTTGTGTTTGATGCATAAACAACACACACACACACACACACACACACACACACACACACACACACACACGCACACTCACACACACGCACACGCACACATACACACACACACACACACACACACACACACACACACACGCTTGTACACATCAATGCAAGGACACCCTATAGTTCTGCTCAATGAAACCTGATCTCACGAGTAAGTCCAATATGAGTTGACACTTCACTCCGGCCATCGAATTTCACGTAGCAGTGCCAAAGTACTGTTGTGTGTGAGCCGTAACATCTCTGACAGTAATTTCCTACTGGGGTTTCAGTCCACTATAACGTTACTCAGGTAGACAAACTGAAAACCAGACCAGTATGCTTACCGCATGAACATGGCAGCATCAAGTGACTTTGCAAATGGCTCGCCGTGCAGTCTTGTCAGATCGGCAGGCTGGTCATGCGAGTCGACATCGAACAAGGTCAAGTCCAGTGCCAGCGAGTTTGAGCGTTGCAACGAGCCACCTTTCCCTGCTGGACGGGCGATCGAGTTCGAGCTGTCCTTCTTCTGGCGTATGACCTGGGGCTGTCCACTGCCATTTACGTCATCCGGATCATCATCATCATCATCCTCATCAAAAGGAACATTGGCTCCGTAACTGATGGACATGTGGGCAAGAATAATGCAAAGAGAAAACAGGCATAAAGCAGAGCATTTAGGCCAGGGTTATGCCGTGCCTGTATGATTCAGTACAAGTCAGCATTGGCATACGGCCTACGCACCCAATGCATTCGGATCTACAGCCTACACTTTACATTGATCTACTTTGAGCACAGCCCACGCACACTCTATGAGCACAGCCCACGCACACTCTATGAGCACAGCCCACGCACACTCTATGAGCACAGCCCACGCACACTCTATGAGCACAGCCCACGCACACTCTATGAGCACAGCCCACGCACACTCTATGAGCACAGCCCACGCACACTCTTTGCATCCGACGCCAGTCACCACTGTTACTGGATTTCCTAGATCTTTTTGCCGCCATCACCATGGATCTGATCCGAAACATTTCCTCACTCTCTGCCTCTCCCAATTCTCCCCCCCCCCTCTCCTTTCCTCTTGTTGTGAAGGCTTGATTTTCTTAGCCGCGGCTGGCTCTCACCCATATTTCTTATTATCAGTGCCATTCCCCATGGTGTTCAGGACGAAGTTATCATGTTGCAACAGTTGATTGACAGTCCCATTTTTGGTACCCACTCCTCTGTCGTTCTTACTCTACTTCTTACAAGCATGGTTGTTCTTTTCTTTTTTAAATATAAAAATGATTTCCATTCCATATTCCATAGTCATCTACAGAAGGAAGAAACTGTTAGAAACTGAAGAAGAAGTTTAGAGGGCCATGGGCAGGTTTCTTCCTTTGGATACTATTCCAATTTTAAACGATAAGTTCCAATCAGTGTCCTTGGAATGCCATTGAAAATTTCTGTAAGGAGTGTGCAAGTCATCTTGATCAATTTGGATACTACCGCAGTCAGTAGCAGTCAGTAGCACTACTCTTGGAAAATAGCTAGATTTGCTTACTCTTTTGGATCTGCTGACTTGTACGCTTCGTTTAAGAGTGAGTGTCGGTGTTGCTCAACCAACCACTTGTATACTGTAACAGCAGCAGCCACACACGACCATGCAAGAAACAAAGCACATTCGATGATCACACACAACATGAACAGAGCACCACCGAACCATGTTGCCCATATAAACTGAGCCATACAAACTTAGTACACGTGCATTGAGCTCAAAGAGTGTAATCTCCGTCTGCGTATAAAGCATGTGCATTCTTTGCGGTCAGCGTACATTAAGTAAATTGTGATCTGAAGGGTGTTGCCCCCCCCCCCCCTCCCCCACCCCTCATGTCACTCAGTGCTAGAACTAACTTTGAACCCGTGTCCCAGTTGCAGGTGGCGGTCGAGCCTGAGACAGCGGCAGCGTCTGGCTGCCGCTGCTAGCTTGATGGCGGCGCAGTGTCAAGGGTGTCACGGCCCTCCTTGCGTCGTACTGCTTCATCGGCGAGCTGATGGTCTTCATGAGTGGGGACGCGGGGCTAGTCAGGTCCGGGCAGCCAGTTCCTCGGCTGTCGATTTGCAGCTCGTTGTCCGCCTGTGTCAAGTTGCTATTCTGCCTGATGGTGAGAGGAGCCGGAGAGCGTTTCTTTCTGCATTGGTGGCGGCATACACATTGTCAACAATCAGGCGTAAATGCTCTGTGGCACAATGTTAGGTCACTAATGTTAACAACACCGTTAGTCCCTTTCATCGCTATAGGGCTTGAAAGTGATGACGTCAAAAACGGCCAAGGAGTAGTAAGTTGACAACAGATTTCTATTTTGGATCCACTTAGGCGTGACTTTGCTATTGCCTCAGTCTGTGGGTGCATAGCAACCCACGCATGTCGTATGCAGGTGCAACTTTTTCTTCGCCACCAGTTGTCACCCCACCCCCATTGGCCAACCCAGTCAGTTTCACTGGCTATATCACCTTGCTGTGAGTAAAACCGCTTGAAATGTGCTTGGATCCATACAAAAACTGGATCCAAGTGGATCAGTTTCGAATTTTTGAAATTGTTGCTAGCTGTGACGTAGCACTTTCAAACCCTATTATAGAATGCAATGCTGCTCCGGGTTGTTTTCAGTGATGCATGGTAGAGTCACGGAGTTGACACCGGCACTACACATCCTTGTCACTAAAATAATAATGAAATATTAACAACACCGTTCGTCCTTTTCATCGCTAATATAATGCAATGATGCTCCGTATTGCTTTCAGTGGTGGTAGAAAAGCGGAATTGGTACCAGCTACTACTGGCCGCACTACATATCCTTGAAGCCGGTTGCCATGGGCCCAGTGATGGATATAACTCCTTTTCCCTGCCACCTTATCACAGATCAACTTGCAATAGTTAATTAAAACTACTTGAAGTAACTTGAATAAGACTCTTCCCATTAGTAGGGCAAGCGGGATGAGAAGCATACCAGCTCCCTTGACCAGCACTTTGTCACATGCAAAACACCACGCACTGTGCATTATGCTCACTACATGTGCTGGTAATCGAGTGCACATCACGCTGCGGGATAACTACTTGCACACATCACGCTGCAGGGCCGGAGGCAGCTTCCGCGGAGCGGTGTGGCCGAAGGGCCATCTTAGAAGGGGGTCTGGGGGTCCTCCCCCGATTTTTTTGGAATTTAGACGGCAAATCCTGCACTCTGGGCGACTCCCTGTACAAAATCATACATCGAAACTTTTTCTCCTCGGTTTTGGACGTTCCACGTGGACCGACATTTTGGGAAGTTGGTACGGCCATGGCCGTACCGGCCGTACCAGTGGCGCCGGCCAAGCGCTGCTGGATAACTTGCACGCATCACACTGCGGGATAGCATGCATACATCACACTGCGGGATAGCTCGAACACCGTGACCATGCCCGCCATACCCAGAGTACACATAATGGATTTCGTTGTCCGGGCAGTGCATGGGGTTCTATAGTAGAAAGTTTGCGCAGGGCACTTGCATGCATACATGTACATGTACCGAGTACAAGCATAACCAGCAGACTGTTTGCACTGACCGTGTGCCACGTGCACAGAACACCACGATGAGCACCACGACGAGGGGAAGTGATCCGAGTGTCCACACCGCGAGTAACTGAGCAGACTGACCTGTTACCAGCAAGCAACACATGATATGCAGACGGAGAAACCGGCATATCCGGTTACTAGACAGCAACACGCCTGAACGGAATACACACGATATGCACGCAGCACAAACTTGCTAATAGGCCATACGTGTACATGCATGTGCACACGGGCTGGTTGGGGTACTGGTTGGGGTACTGGTTGGGGTACTGGTTGGGGTACTGGTACTCAGTATATCATGGTATCAGTGTTCCCAAAGGCGAGGCATGGCAATACTACACACATGCTACATGAACATTCCTCACAGCCAGTTGGATCTAGCCACGATTTTCTATACACATTTTTACTCCTACACAAATAATTGTTAGCAGCAGCAGCAGCAGCAGCAGCAGTGATTCATTAGGTAAGCAGTATTTCATAGAACTGCACAGGTGTGAGTGCCACAGCCCTTTCTTGGAGGGAAAACCGTCACTGTTTGTCAAGCTAGTCAGTACCAATTCTGGAGCACAAGCACAAGGAAAGGGTTAGGGCGGATTGTGGTCCGATTTTGCAGAAATCAAAGCATGGCTTGTAGCCCAGACAACGTGGTACTGGGATCAGGGCACTTCTGTCCATCCAGCACCTTTGGCTTTGTGGAGCTGTTGCCATGTGGAGAAAGGGCTGATTACCAGCATATTATTAAAGATGAATAACTGAATTATAGTTTAACATGTAGTTTCTTGGTCCTTTTTTCTTTACTATAAACTGAATAATTGAAAAGTATAATTTCTTTTTAAACAACGGCTGCATACAGTCATAATTATGGGTTGTTCCGCCATCCAGGCAATTCTGCTGAGATCTGGTCACTCTTCGGTCCCAAGCCGCCGCCATCAGGGGAGCATTTTATATGTGTACGTGGAGAAAAGCATGACTGAGGCGATTTGTTTGACCACTCAGACAGTAGTCACCTTTTTACATGGGCCCTGATACGTACTCCGACATCTTGTAGCGACAGTTGCAAGCTACGGTACTGGGCAGGTGTTTCTTGCCTCATTGGCAGAGTTCATTCAAGAGTGATTCGTGGCCAACCGTCTTCTGGAGCAGGGAGGTTGTCGGCACTCACTCTTGTAGACTTTATAAGGATGGAGATCATCTAGTCTTCGGTAGCAAAGAGAGGCCATTACCTGACAGGCACGTAGGACTGCCGTTGGAGGTGGTCCGGTCGGAGGGGGGTCCGGTCGGAGGGGGTCCGGGGTCTCCCGCGGGAAAAATTGAAATTAGAGTGCAAAATCCTGCATTCTGGGCGCTTTTGGCATTGTGTGAAAAATAGTGGTCCGGCCATAGCCGGACCGGCTGCTACGCCCCTGCCTTATCCCACAAGCTAGCCTATTATAGTGCTGGCTGCCCAGCGAAATGCGTGCCATGACTAGGCTACATAGTAGCACCGAGTGCTGCATGACCCAATGCACTACGGACACTACTGCTCTATAGGCTGTGTGTGGCGCTGCATGGGAGCCTGCAAATTTCACTGACTAACCGTGATTATACATGTAGTAGCAAAGCGCATGGCCTCTTGTTTTTACTGCTAACCATCATTCTGACTGTAACTAGCTCCCCCCCCCCCCCTCTCCCTCCCCGTGCACCCATTACGCCTATGGGCCATACCTCGATGGAAACCAAGCTGATTTATTAGGAACGTTTTGCGTTGCTTACCCATCTCCGGCATAGTGACCCGTTGATCAGTCAGAGGGTTGGGCTCACAGATGTATGAAACACTGTAGCCAGCTACAGACAGTACTAGCCTACACTGCTGGTCCCCGAAGCACTGCGTGAAAGTCGGCAAACAGCGACTTGGCTCGCCAATGGTCCGTCGTCGGACGGAAGAGACTTCTTCCACGTTCGTTACGAAGTCACAGCAGCTTCCCAATGGTTCTCTCCGGCTCTCTGGCTCGATCAGCGGCTGCGCTCCGTGTCAATGGCCGGGCAGCCTTGCCGAGATGACCGTTGCTTGCGCTTGAAAGTCTCCCTCATCGTTGCCCGATCAGGGTCAATATGCTAGTCTTCTGCTGAGCGCTTTGTGGTGTGTATGCACAGATCCCTGATCAGGCTAGGTAAAATTGCAGCGCAGAAGTCACGAAGAACAAAATCTTTACGCCATTTAACCAGGTCAACACTGGACCAGTCCGGAAGCTAGAATAGCGTGCCTCGATCCCAAGTGAAGCTTGACTACGTTTTCGCACCAGGTTTTAGGGCGGGTTCGAGAGTCCAGTGCGATGTCTACTGCAGTACCATGAGTACTGGTCTGTGTTCTTCACACGGTCGAACAATTCTTGTGAGCACTGAGAGAGAAGTTCCGAATGGTGATGAAGAAGATGGAGATCTTTGACACCGCCGCATGACGATCTCACACGCGCGCACACATGCACCGTGACCAGTGCCAGTGGTAACGTCCGGGAGAAGAGACTGCACAGACTACACTCTATAATTGCAGTACTCTCTCTACGGCCAGTGCAAGTCATGTAGTCGCTAGTCGGTACAGGTGTGACAGTCTGCCAGACGAGAGACACACACAAGCTGCTACATTGTAATGCGAGCCTATGTAATGCCAATGCCTAGGGCCAGGCTATGCCTATGCCTATGGCCAGTGCAGTGTCGGACTCAGAGAGTCAGACTCAGAGCATGCAGCGGAAATCTCATTCCTCGTATACACTCAGGCTGCATCCTTCTCACCAACACTGACTCTGAGATTATCTTTTCGACCAGCGCTGTGGCTCGGAGCAGCTCGGCCCAAGCTCAGATCGGACTGGTCCCGTCATGATCTCTGGACGTCTGTGAGCATGTGGTGAAGTCTACTGACGGTCAATCTGCATGGCATAGGCTCGGACAGTAGATCCACAGACCACAGACCACAGGCACAGTGCAGTGGGCAACTACTGCCGTACTAACGCGTGTCGTGTCAGAGAAACGCCATCGAGTTCATGCGTCTATTCTTGTCCTTGAATCTTGGTTCGTCCGCGAGGTGAACTGTCTAGCTTTTTTATTTGCCTGTGTTGGCTGGCTACTTGTTCTTTGTAACTACCGTGCTAGCCAGTGAGCGGTGTAGGCACAGATGACGCTTGGCTGCTCTGATGCCGCTCTGAATGCCATCACTGCAATGACAGATCTGGCAGTAGGCGGCGCTTGTCAAGGACACACGTGTAAAGACAAGTGGAACTTGATCGTGTTTGTGCCAGACGACAGCTAAAAACCCTTGGGCATTTCAACAAATTTTAAATATACACATACATGCACCGGTATAGATTGCCGCCTACCGGTACAGATGTCGTACAAGTATTTACAAAAAATATTTCAAGTATGAATACAGGCTTATACAGCATACATAGCCGGGTCCCACCATTCGGACTCACGCTGCATACCTGATCTGAGTCCCAAGGCTAGTCGTTTCGAGACAGCAAAAGACATTTCCATTTTGACGTCTGAGCTCAACAAACGACGCCTGGGTAGACAATTACAGCCATTCACGGTCGGGCTGCGTGTCGTGGGCTGTCAAGAACAGCCGGTTAACGCGTTGGTCCCTGAGCAATTAGTCAACCACATGTACATGTACACGCATTTTTGTAAACGATACTTCGACAACTTGTACTTGTACCTGTAGTCCTCTGCTCGGGAGAACGCTGTATGTTCCTACGAGCAGAGCAATCCTACACACCAGTTACAGAGCACCACGCATCTTCGTTGTAGCTAATAGTTTCGTGCCCTTGGCTTGGGCAATCCGGCATCAGACAAATGATAATGCTTGAACAGCCAAGATCCAGAAGCAGCGATGTACATGTATGTATGCGAGCAAGAGTACGTAACCGGGTTAAACCCCCAAGGGTACATGTACTAATACACTCTTGATGCGAGAGTGAGGAATTTCATGCGTGGATCCAGCGGTCTATTTTAAAAAGCGAGGTCACGCCTTCGCATTTGCTGAACAGGAACATCGCAGCATGGCGACACTTCGACGCGATCTCTGTGCGCTTGTTGAGGGAGACGGTGTAGGGCCAGGGCGGTCTGATGCAAGGATGTGGCACTTCTCGGCTATACAGAATGAGATCACTGGCTGCAACCTCCGAGAAGTGCCACATCTGTGCATCAGACGGTTCAGACCGTACCGCCTCCCTCAAGTGCACAGAGAAGTGTAGCCATGCTGCGAAGTTCCTGTTCAGCAAACACTATAGCCCGCTAAATCCACGCATGATTTTCTTCACTCTCGCATACATACATGTTTTTTTGTTTTTTTGTTTTTTTATACGAAAGCCCACTATATTCCCGAATATGTGCGAGAAGTGGTGGCCAGTGCACTAGTGGTGGGGCCAGGCTGCTCTGCCGACCTTAAAGGTCGCGGCGTCTACGCAGACAAAGCGCGCCATAATGCAATAAAACCAGGGGGGAGGAGGAGGAGGGGAAATGAATAATAGTGAGGAACGAGGACAATGGGTAGATGGTCGTGAAAGAAGCAGAGTGAAAGATAGCATCACATTGTGGTAAGGAGGGAGGGAGGATGCTAGTGAGGCACTGGTCTAAACCGTTTCATAGGGCGTCGGTGGCTGTTTGCCAGTTCAGGTGCAGCAGATACTTGTTGCACTTTTCCTTGAAGGACTGGAGCTGTCTGGGTTGCGGCCGTGCTGGTAGAATGGTCGCTGGTAGGATGTTCCACAAGGGAATAATGCAGTCTGGGTAGGAACCCTGGAGGCTGCTACCAAGAGTTATGTACTCTTGCTCCTACGAATGCGCACGGCCGGGCAGCGTCGACTTGAGCTGGAGCGGGTGGCAGTGGGCAGTCTCCGTGGCTAACCTATAGGGTAGATCGACCACCCACTGGGCTGGGCGGGGTTGGCTGGAGGTGGGAGGATGGGCTTCAGGGGGCTTGTTGTTGGAAGGTTGGACAGCTTGAAGGTGAACGAAAGCGCAACAACCAGTCGGCGGTGTTTCAGGCTGGGGAGCCAGGCGCCTGGGCCAATAACCTTCAGTGCCTTGTGCTGTATTTTGTCCAGCCTGGATATGCATGACCCTAACCACACCAGGCAGCAGTATTCCATTGTTGGCCGCATGAAGCCTTTGTAGACTGCCGTGCGGCCGCTAGAGTCCAACAGGGGTGCAACCCTTTTCAAGAAGTGTAGGTGTTGGACAGCCATTGAGGCCACGGCCCGGATGTGCTGGGGGAGGCTTGCGGTGGTCAATGATGAGGGCTGAGATTTGGATGGCTTGAAGGTGACCTTCCACTTGGAACCCCAATGGGAGACGGCGTCCACTGCTTCCTGGAGTTGTGTTGCAGAGTCGGATTTGCTGGCGGTGGCAGGGATGCACTGATACAGTGTCGTGTCGTCTGCATAGGTGGCAAGCTCAGCACCAGCAGGCAAGGTGTCCTCGCAGTCATTTACATACAGGAGGATTTACATACTTCAGGAGGAATAGCGTAGGTCCAAGGATGCTACTACTAGTACCTTGTGGTACCCCTGCTTGGATATGGTACAGGGAGGACTCTTGGTCACCCACAACAGCCTGCAGGCGCCGGTTGTGCAGGTAGCTTTCCAGCCATCCGAGAAGCGCGCCGTCTAGACCATACACGGAGGCCTTGTGCAGCAGGCCAGCATGGCTGACTTTATCAAAGGCGCCTGCTATATCTATCACCAAAACATGGGCGGCTCCTCCAAGGCCGGCTGCTCTGGACCATTAAAGGGGAAGTTAAGGCAAAAATTAAAATGTCACCAGTTGTAGTCTTCGGGGTGCTGAGTCGAATGGTCTTGGTCCGAGAAAGCTGAGACGCTCCCTTCCTACTTGAATCCCAATCGAACTCGCGCACTTCCACCGAAACTGGGTGACTGCGCCCTACGAGATGGGGATTTGTATGCAAAATGTCACTAAAAGCGCCATTTCGTTCTTATAAAAGCACGGATGACCGCGATTGGCCCATATGTTGTAGTCTTTTGGACGCTGAGTCGACTGGTTTTGGTCCGAAAAGGCTGCGATGCAGCGTTCCTCCTTTATTCCCAATCGAACATGGTTGAAGAAGCAGTCACGTGCTCCTGGGTGCCAAAATCACCTGGTCACCACGCCAGCAGGCGACAACTTTCACACCAAGGTTCAACTCGAGTGACAGGACTGAACCCAAAAAAGGTCAAAACAGGCTGTAAGTTGTACCCTGCAGGCACGGTGACCAGGTGACTGGTGTACGCAGGAGCACGTGACCGCTTGTTCAACCATGTTCGATTGGGAATTAGGGGCGAACGCTGCATCGCAGCCTTTTCGGACCAAAACCAGTCGACTCAGCGTCCAAAAGACTACAACATATGGGCCAATCGCGGTCATCAGTGCTTTTATAAGAACGAAATGGCGCTTTTAGTGACATTTTGCATACAAATCCCCATCTCGTAGGGCGCAGTCACCCAGTTTCAGTGGAAGTGCGCGAGTTCGATTGGGATTCAAGTAGGAAGGGAGCGTCTCAGCTTTCTCGGACCAAGACCATTCGACTCAGCACCCCGAAGACTACAACTGGTGAAATTTTAATTTTTGCCTTAACTTCCCCTTTAACAAATACAATGGAGCTTGGTTTTAAAAGACGTCAGCTGTGCTCAGGGCCTTTCTGAACCCGAACTGTTTCGCGGAGATGACATTGTGGGATTCCAGGAAACTGGTTACCTGACGATTCACAATCGTTTCCATCACTTTGGATATTATAGACAGCAGAGACACAAGTCTGTAATGTTGAGGCAGGTTCTTGGATTTCTTCTTGTGAATGGGTGTGACTCTAGCTGTCTTCCAGGCGTCCATGGAGCTATGAAGCCGAGACCTCTGGTCGGCGGAGCTTAATGGGCCCCACCACCACACTCCATCATTCACCCCAGTGTCTGGAGATATGTGGATTTTGTAGAAAAAAAAAAAAAAAAAAAAGGATGTCGGCATAACCATGCCATAGAAGCTAAGGCCCCTTAAGTTACTAAGGGAGAACAGTTTGGAGAGTGGCTTATTTAGGGGGTCAGCACACATCTTCATGTACATCGTTGCTTCTATCATGTAATCAGATCTTGGCTGTTCAAGCATTACCAGCTGTGCCATGCCGGATTGCCCAAGGGCACGAAACTATTACAACGAAGATCCATAGTGCTCTGTGACTTGCGTGAAACAATACTGCTAGACATGGGCCAGTGCATGCTAGCTCGGGGCGGATTATACCGGCAGAAAATCCGGCAGAATTTGGAACTTTTCTGGTGCGAGTGTTTCATACAATCATAATGCCTGTTCATCCCAATAGCCACACTTGTCTTGCCTCCGGCAAAGTGCGGAATATCTCGAGGCAAAGCCAAACCGGGATCCCGGAAGACTGGTCAAAAGGAAGGTTTCGTCCAAACGTGAGAAGCCAACAAAACAACCAGTCCAGTGCGTTCCTCCTTTCTTGTTTCCACCTAAAGTCCGCTTCTGGCACTCATGGCGCCACAAGCTGCAACCAAGAGCACAGTCATACTACTGGTAGTAGCTGCTTAGTTTTAAAGTCATGTACTCTTGCTTAGTTTTAAAGTCATGTACTCTTGCTCTACTTTCTCTCTCAGACTCCCTACGCTTTCTCTCTCAGACTCCCTATGAAATGGACCTTGGCTTCTTCAGAAAGGTGTGCCCAGTACTCGACCGCAACGGCCGCCTCAGCGTGTACAAAGGCTTCATCCGCCCAACCATGGAATATGCTCCCCTAGTCTGGCAAGGCGCAGCCCGGTCCAACCTCGCGAAGCTTGACCGCATCCAGCAAGGGTGCATGCGCAACATTGGCGCTGGGACCATGCTCCCAAGCTTATCAGTGCGTCGGCAAGTCTGGGGACTATGCTACCTGTTCAAGCTGCACTACATTTTCCGGTCCGACCCAGCTGACAGACATGCTGCCATCTGCTGCCCCTGAGCCCGCCCGCCCCAGAACCCGCCACCAACATCAAGTGAAACACTCCCATGCCTTCCAGTTGTCAAACCCCCTCCCCGCAACAAGTCCTGACATCCTACACCGATCCTTCCCGTTCGGCCTACTAACAACATGGAATGCTCTACCCTCTGCCATCCTGAACGCTCCCCCATCTAAGGCAGCGCTGCAATGCTTCAAAGTAGCAGTGTACAAGTACATGTACCTCCTCGAGCAAACTAACGTTACATTTGGGACTGCTGTCGACGTGTACACCACAAACTAGCATACTACCTGATGGCCTAACTCTCTTCTTTCTTTCTTTTTTTACCCCCAGGCATGCTTCAACAAGACTTATCATACACTGGAAATACAGAGGAAGGTGAGTTTCATCATCGCCACCAGGGTCATAATCAACGTAAACTATCTGTACAACAACAAAAAGTACAGCTTAGCAAATCAATTCAAGACAGGACACGTATTATCTGAATGTACATTATCATAAAACACACACATCGCACATGTACTGTACATTGTAAGATGTGCAAAACAAGACAGAACCGGAATCGCTCGCAAGACTTAAGGACGATGCCCGCAAGGCCCCAGACAACAGAAAGAACAACATTATAATACATATGTACATATGTACAGAATGTCAGAGAGAGACGTTCAGCGCAGGAAGAAAGACGCAGAACGAGCTACGCGCACATGCACATTTGTACAAGAGAGTGCAGGACACATGCACTGCCTGTGAGGTTCTATGTGGCATGCTGTTACGCTTAGTGACCTCGTCGACGAGACGCGACTTTCTTCTGGCGCTTCTTGTCGGACTTGGGTTTTTTAGTTTTGCGCTTCTCACGCTGCTCCTCCTTAACTTTCTTCTTATGTTCCTGTATAGAAGTCACATACAGAACAAGGTGGGAAGGCAATGCAGGGAACACACATCACAAACCAACATCTTGTCACAATGCTGACCCTCACCCTACACTACAGCAGTACTTGGTACCGTATTGCCCACTGGAAAAGTGCACAGTGCCACACACCGTCATGTACTTTGAAGTACTTGCACGTAGACTGATCACTGTGATCAGGTCACATACTTCCGGAGTGTATACATCAGACTAGCACACACTTAGAATAGAAAGAACCAAGCTACTGTATTAGTGAGGCCACCGAGGGAGTCCCAACACGTGATCCGGTTCTCTCTGCTCACAGAGTGCGAGCGGCTCAGGACTACATGCGCATCAGGCACAGCTATCTCCTCCTTGTACAGCAAAGTAACCGAAAAACAGTAAAAAGAGCGGCTCTCTCCCTTGCTTAAGCTGCTAGGACAACAGCAGCCTGTGAAAGGCATTATATCCACAATACGTGTATAATCACAGCTCTGTTGTTAGGTCCATGATCAAGAGACAGTAGGCATTGCTAAACTTGGCCAGGGTGAATATACATGCAGGAGAATGCAAACCGAGGCGTATCGACACATTTTTTTCATTTGAAAATTCCAGCAACATTTCAAGAGTCTTGTTCTAACACGAAGTAAGAGTGCAAAAGACAAGCAAGGTCATGCTGTACCTTGCGCGTTTCAACACCTTCGGCATCAGCCTTGGACCCTTTTGACCGACGGTTAGCTTTGGGTCGGTCATCATCTTTGTCATCATCTTCGCTGTTAGAGTTGCTGCCTGTCTGGCTGTCGTCGTCATCTTCCTCACTATCGGAGTCACCATCACTGGCAGATCTGCTGCTACCGTAATTCTACGTACGCACCCAATAGCACAAGAAAAAACAGAACAGAAAGACACGACTCTAATATTAGTGGTTGCCATGCTAGCAATATTATTGACTGATGTCATCATCATCATCATCATCATCATCATCATCATCATCTGCGTTGCCGAAAAAATAATAGTAAAATAATAAAATAATAAACGGCATTATGCAGCTGTGTAAGCAGTAGATGCACAGTGTGACTGCCAGGCATCTCTGTCAGATGCCAATTGGCAATTCTCATGCAGAGACATACCAGTCCACGAAACGATATTGTCAGCAAAGGATGTACTTGTAGCAAATACTTTCAGCAGCCAACACTAAAGTTGTTGTTACTCCGTACCTCAACAGCTCCTGACAGGTCCGACTTCAAGCCAGTCACGGTTTGATACGCAAGCTGAGGGGAAAGGAGAAGTGAACATGCGCACCGGTGCATACAACACACGTCACACATACATGTACCATTCGTCAAGTTACTCGATAACAGCTACACGTACGCTCTATTTGGCATCTACTGCTACCGCCATACTGGTTTCAAGACAATTTACTAGTATATTGAAGAATGAAGATGCATGACAAATAAACCAGAATTACAAAGCCATGCGGCTGCTAGATTGGGGGATTTCCACACATTCCTGGGCATGCACTTATTGCGAGCCCCGATTCAAAAATGGCCGGGGGAGGGGGGCTTGGCAGTTCGTAATAAAAAAAAAAATTGTTACAAAACAATGAAAGTGAAATGGTTGAGTACGGGCGATTAGGGTTGGAATGCTGGCATTGCAACACGCTGGGCAACGGTGCTTGGGGTTTCATGGCAGCAGCTGGGGTTGGTTGTGCTTATTAGGCGTAAGTCAAACTCGGTCGTAATGATCAGTGTGCATGGATCAGAGTTGCATTAAAGGGGAAGTATACCCTAAAATCAAATTTTCACCAGTTGTAGTCTTCGGGGTGCTGAGTCGAATGGTCTTGGTCAGAGGAAGCTGCGACGCTCCCTTCCTTCTTTTTTCCCAATCGAACCCGCGCACTTCCACCGAAACTGGGTGACTGCGCCCTACTAGATGGGGATTTGTATGCAAAATGTCACTAAAAGCGCCATTTCGTTCTTATAAAAGCACGGATGACCGCGATTGGCCCATATGTTGTAGTCTTTTGGACGCTGAGTCGACTGGTTTTGGTCCGAAAAGGCTGCGATGCAGCGTACCTCCTTTATTCCCAATCGAACATGGTTGAACAAGCGGTCACGTGCTCCTGGGTGCCCAAATCACCTGGTCACCGCGCCAGCAGGCGACAACTTTCACACCAAGGTTCAACTCGAGTTCAACTCGAGTGACAGGACTGCACCCAAAAAAGGTCAAACAGGCTAGTAAGTTTTACCCTGCAGGGACGGTGACCAGGTGACTGGTTTACGCAGGAGCACGTGACCGCTTCTTCAACCATGTTCGATTGGGAATAAAGGAGGAACGCTGCATCGCAGCCTTTTCGGACCAAAACCAGTCGACTCAGCGTCCAAAAGACTACAACATATGGGCCAATCGCGGTCATCCGTGCTTTTATAAGAACGAAATGGCGCTTTTAGTGACATTTTGCATACAAATCCCCATCTAGTAGGGCGCAGTCACCCAGTTTCGGTGGAAGTGCGCGAGTTCGATTGGGAATAAAGGAGGAAGGGAGCGTCTCAGCTTCCTCGGACCAAGACCATTCGACTCAGCACCCCGAAGACTACAACTGGTGAAAATTTGATTTTAGGGTATACTTCCCCTTTAAGCCGGGGAGAGAGAGGGAGATGCAGGGCTATGCACGGATATGCATATGCATTCATGCCAGTAGCATCATGCACATGTAGTAGTAACCGTGACTCACCGTGTCTAGACTATCACGGTCCGGATGATAGAGGTCGCGCTCCATGTTGGGAACTTGATCCAACGTTCGTGGAATGAATACTTGCTTGAAGACCTGTGCATCATCAGCAACACAGGTTACAGAGATTAGATTAAGCCGTAAAAATGTACCTCACATACTAGTACTAACTAGGGGTAGAGTGGCTCCGCATCTATTGCATGACCATACAGGACAGCCATATTGATTCCGACTCCAGTCAGCCCTGGCATCTATGGGTCACATGACAATGTTGGTTCCACTGTTCATATACCATGATTACTTTCTACACAATTCTAGTCACATGACTAAGATGTGAGAGAGTGACGGAGGGTGACAGAGCGCAAAGTAAAAAAAACTTCATCCAAAGCAATCCTTCTGTTCTCCACCTTCTCCTCCTATTTGTGCCACAGGGTTTTTAAAACTTCTCCTAGTCCGTAGCCCGTTCTCACTTGTCACCCTCACTACTACTATAACATGATAAGTAGTCAGTCAGCGACCTATGGCGACAGCGCTCGCCGAGTCGGCATAGTATGCCGGGCACATCCAGGGAATTTTCTAGAACCGCCCCAACCGGTTTTCGACCGGTTGAAATTGTTGGCGACCGGTTGAAAAGTTACAAATCAGTTCCAACCGCCCGTACTTTTGTGTGGGTGAATGGAGCTGTGAATGGTCAAACGCTTGTTTCTGGACGGATACTTCCAACGAAGCCGCGTGGGCTGGTACTAGCCAACTAGGGTCACGAGTTTGTACTCCAGCACCAAGAAATCTGTTAAATTGCTGTCGAGTGCCATATTTGGGTTGTATTTTGAAAAAAAATTCCGCGGGGGGTCCCCCGGACCCCCCGACTTTTCATTGGACCGTAACCGGTTGGAAATTCGTCCTAGAATATACCCTGACATCAGTTCCTTACTTCTTCGTCGACCTGATCCTTTGCAGTCTGGCCGCCTTCTTCACTTCTCTGCGTAGCCTTTTCCTCGGCCTGCAAATGAACAGACATGGATACAAAGTACAAGGGTTAGCAGAGCTCAACCAAGCCCAAGCTCAATAGTAGATGTTCCGCTGGGTGCTGGAATGTACACAGGGAGCGTTGTATTCAGAGCTTCAAAACCAACCTACTTCAAGTGTCTGCTAGCAATACCCTGCATACTCTGCAATAGACCCTGTCGTGAGCTCTACAAGCTGACAGCACTTTGATCGTCTTTTCTCCACTCTGGAAAAGAGCTACATATACATAACATACTAGAGCGCAATGGTAATTTCATTACCCTGCTGGAATATCTTAAAAGCAAGGTACAACTTGGAAACTGAACATAACAGTAAAAAGAATCGCCGAGCCCATCGAAGTAGTGTGTTGATCACAGCTGCAGCTATAGTACCTTTTCTAAATAGGCCGCCATGTTATCCTCGTTTATGGACAGGTCCGTGACGAAATTGAACAATTCCTTGTACGACATACAGCATACTTCCTTCTTCACAAAGAAATCTGAACAACACATGAGCAGACAGAAAACCGAAGAGCAGTTATGATCCACACAGCACGAGAAGAGGACTGATGGTGCTTAGTATGGCTGGCTTCTAATCCCAAGAGAGAATGCACTACGGTACTGTTGGGTGCCGAAGAACTGGGGGTGAGCCTCGTAGCGTGGACCGTTCTTATTTTTATGTGTAGCAGTCTATGCGCAGTAGAGCCACCTTGTATATATCGCTATGCTGTGCTTGGTGAATTTCTAGCCTGTGACTGTGAGTGTCCGTTCTTCAGCGCCCGGCAGTACTGTAGCAGAGAGACTGAAAAACAGTTCTGCAACACGAACAAGACATGTAAAACAAAACAAAATGCATGGGCACAACTGACCTGTGACATTGACACAGTCCATGCGCAAGAACACCATAGCCTGAGGATGGTCATGCTCCACCGACTGAGACACATCAATGATGAACAGTTGACCCTGGTGATACCTGATGGCAGACAATACGAGCAGGGGTCACACAGGAACAGAGTCAGCAATCCTTCTACTGAATGAGTGCATGTAAACATATTGAAAATCAGGACCAGACAAGAAGACGATCTCACACATGGCAAACAAAAAAAAGTCTACAAAGCCAGCTTGTTGGTCTAGGAGGTTTGCAGAGTGATTCCTTCAGTCCTTGCGGTAGGACAGTTTGCAAGCTATCATTACCGACTTGTACTTTGCCTGGACACTAACAATACCGGTATCATCGTGAGCATTCAAAGTGACAAAACTGCAAAGTACACGACTGTGTTATAAACAGCAGAAGTTCTACAAATACAGTACTTCGAAGTACATGTATCACCATGATGGCACTTGGTCACCAGGAGAAGGTAGGCTATCGGACGTGTACCGACAGCGACACTGGTTGAGAGCAGTACAATCACACCACCACCCCCACCACCAACACCGCCATTCACATGCATGTAGATACCGCACATCCAGCACAACATAGTTTGCACTGCTTCAGCGCTACACACTCGTTCTCGCCCAGGTCGAAGATGTCTAGAATGCTCATCTCTTTCAGTCACTGATCTTGGTCTGGAGTTTTTCTTCTTCTCTTCCTTTCTCCATGCAACAATTCAAACTGTGTGAATACATTTGACAGCGGAATAAAAACACTACCCTACGACCTAAAATTCTTATTGGTCACAAGAAGACCTAGTTCACCTATCTGTGCCATGGGATCTAGCTGTACAGCGTGCATGCACTTCTACACAATACAGGGTGCAAACAAGCACCATAGTAGGCACGCTGGCCATTGGGGAAAGCCATTGTCAGTAGCGTGAGCCTCGTCCGCACGCTCACGGAAACCCCACATGTGTGGAAAAGGCATCGCCAAGAGGATTTCTGGGGAAAAATGGAAACTATGACGCTCATCACCAAAAGGGGAGTACACTGTACATGGAACTGCGGAGTAGAGGCGTTATCTGTAACTTGACAAGCTGAATGGTGAGTGTAGGCCATCACGCACACTAGTACTAGTATTCACAGCAGACTTACAGCATATTGAACTCGCTCAAATCGGCATGGATGAGGCGACACTTATGGTACATTTTCCTCATAAGCTCGATACATTCCTGGTAGAGTTGACTCCACCCATTTTCTGACACATCTTTAGCGTCCTTCAGTCGCGGCGAGGGCCTGAAACATTCAAAGGAAAAGGCACTCAACAACTCAAGATGCCTTTCACAAGAACACTCCAAAGTGCGAGGAAGAGAAGCACAAGTTGTAATGAAAAAGGCCAATAGTCAAATGCATGCATCCCACACATGGCTACACTTAGACGTGTTGCTCAAATGTTCTCGTATCGTCATCAAAAAGTGGTACTATTACCGGTTGTAGTTAGTACTGTTCACTCTCCTTTGCTACTCGAAAAGTCTTGCATGGACTGCACGTATTCACACTATGCTTGTATGTTAGCAAAGCAACATTGGATTGGTGTCCTTACCAGCCATTCACGCCAAGGAACTCCATGACTAGGACATGGTTCCTCACAAGAATAGGCTCAGGACAAGGAATGCCTGCCTGTCTCATTCTGCAAAAAACGTAAGTTACAGACAAAAAAAACAAAAAACAAAACAGCAATTCACATGGAAAACCAATGGCATAGACAATAGACAAGAGGACCTCGCGAGACCACACAATCAGGAGCTTTCAGCTTCTAGTGTCAGAAAGGAGAGGTATACTGTGCTGCCATATACTCTGGCAGCACAGCTATGAACAGAACTGAGGCTCGATCAAATTTGGCAAGTCTGAGCATAGAACATACAACACGTGCAGACTAGCGCTCGATACCTCAGAAGATTTCTCAGCTCCTTCTCAGCCCACATCTTCACCATTTTGCGGGGGTTGGTCTTGCAATAGCCGCGTCGGAACCTGCCAGGACAGGAACAGAATAGCAATTTATAACAAGGAAATCAAATTTACAAGTCTACCTCTTTGCTAAAGGAACATCCGAAGCACAACAGCAGTTAATGAAAACAGGGAACCCCCTTAATCGCTTAACCTGTGTTCTCAACTGCCGCGTGCAAACAGCTGCAAGATCAAGGAAGTCGTCAACTATGGGCATAGCACAGTACATAGGTCAAGTCAGTAGCCACTATACTATGCGCTCAACCCACCTGAAGTCTCCGGTAACATATTTGGAGCGGTCCTTAAATGCCAAAATAGATGTCTTATAGACCTACAGCATAACCACAATGCAGTCAGGAGCAGAAGTAGACAACAATGTGAGCTCAGGCACCAGCAACAGGATCGATTACTAAGCATCAGGCACACAGTTAACAGGCACCAAATACTGCTCATAGAGTACGCCGAGACAGAGAACTGCTTGCACACGATCCAGGAATTCAGATCAGATGAGAGAGCATGCGCTCACGGTCACTCGCTTCCACATCACCACGCTATCTTTGTCAACAGTGTAGCCTCCTTCTGACAGCTGTGGTACCGGTGTACGGCAATGGCAGGTGATAGACCCAGCAGTGCAGCCTTTCTTCGACCTAGTTGTTCGTTCAGGTCTTTGTGATGAAAAGGACACTGTATTCTAGGCACACCCACTACAGCCGGTCCGACGTCGTAAGCTCCTCTTTGACGTTTCCTTACCGTCAACCACAGGGTCAATCACAGTGGTGGGAGTAAACGTGATTGCGTTACTCACAAAGCTAAACACAGGGACTTGGTAAAGGTACATGAACAACAATGGGCTGCTGGAAACATAAGACAGGGCATACCTTGATGGCTCGGTCACCAGCGTCACTAGCAGAATTGTACACATTAGCCTGCATTAAAAATACGCACACACGCCACACAAAGACATGGGTCTATAGTTGAAGTTCTTTGAAGAAGAAGAAATATAGTTCAACAGTCAAAGAGATTCTTGCTATGGCCTACATACAGGTAACAGTGAAGGTATGGTAGTGTGCGAGTGGCTTATATACATCCAACATTAGATTCGAAGAGGCCAGAGCTCAACGTCAACCAGGCAAACAGGAAAGGAGGCACTGCAGTGCTCAGGTTCAGGTATTGTAACTTACTTCTTTGCCAGTGCTAATGCAGCCATTAACCTTGGTGAAGATGCCTTTATTCTGCAGTCGATGAAGTATTTGGACAGTGCGCGGGTCTAACACCTGGGAGAGAGGGGCACAGGGGAAAACACAAAATAGCTTTCACAAAATGAATTGAAATGAGAGTAGGAAGGCAAGATGACCGCATCCGTCAGCCATCACCAGCTTCACTCGTGCATATTCAGGTAGCAAGATAACCTTAGACCATTACAGAAAGAATGAATGGGCACAAATACAACACCCAAAACAACATGGGTGTTCACAAAGCACGCACCTGCTCGACTGTAGCGCGGTCAGCCTTGTCCTTAGTCTTCTTTCTGTAAATGGCGGTTGACACCAAAATGGCCACGGTAAATAGGGGACAAACAGAAGGTAGAGTGCTGTAGGCTACTAGCAAGACGAGACGGCAATAGCGCTCAGGAACAAACAGAAAGTAGGGCATTGTAGGCTACTAGCGGGACGATAATAACCCTCAGTAACACATCCGGCTGCCTCTTTATAGCAGGCACCAATGAAGCCCCCGCGTGATGGGCGTTCACATGTCATGAGTGACACCCTATCGACTACTGCACAACCTGACACCTACCATGGCGCGAAGTTAGCCAGCACAGCCACATCATGCAAGTATGATGCTGAAGGACCGCGCAGAAAACCATAGCTCAGGTGAAACATGCAGAAAGCTGTGAAAGCTCCGTAAGTGCAACTCTCACACTGTACAGTGACAGGGGAGCCACATGTCGACCAGTACAAGAACATGAATGATAGAAATGGCTGCATTCACGCGCACATGATGTATGCGTAAAACAAACACAGCTCTCACCACCTGTCACACTCTCGTTCACACAGAACGAAATAAAGGGTGCTAACTTTAAGTTACAACTTGACACCTTAGTGACCTACCATCGCAACTCTCACCATGTATCACACTCTCATTCATTTTTTTAAGTTAAAAGAACGACACACGGGTACAGCAGTGAGCACACGCACTGCCTGCGCTGCTGAATGCACAGCAGATAGTGCGAGAGTCTTTCTGCTACATATCACCATCCCATGGAAAGTTGAAAACCTCTTGCTAGACTACACACAGCACCTTAGGCAGTCTGTGTCGCTTCCTGGAAAGTGTGATTCACACTCACTGCATCAGATTGTAACACTACATGTAACCACAAAGATTGCTCGAAATTACAGATACCTGAGGATCTGTATTGCAAATATGTCATTGAGAAGCACAATGGCCTCAAACAGAGCAGCAACAACCACACTCACTTTCCCTTCTCGTTCGATGAGTGAATCGCTGAGATCTTTCCTTGCATGTTAGCTGACTGCTGGCTAGCGCCTACAGACACACACACACATACACACACACACACACACACACACACACACACACACACACACACACACACACACACACACACACACACACACACACACACTTGTACTTAATGCTCACTGCCAAAACTGGTCACGTGGGTCTCCCCGGGAGAGGGGAGAGAGACTCAAAAGGAATCTTGGAAAGATGACTCAATTGGTTATTGAACCGCCCAACGGCCGACACCCCCTGAAATCCCCAAACTAGGGTGGACTTGGAATGATCCCACTTATGGGCTCACCACACCTCAGTAAGTGGGTGAGGACAAGGTGCAGAAAAAGGATTGACGGCATCAGGGTATCCGTCCGGGGATCCAACTGCAGTTACCCCTATCCCCAGTGAAGGTAATACTTGCTACTAGTGTGGGTGGCTAAATCAGAGTGGATCTGATATAAGCTTCACTAGCACCATTGATTACACAAGAGTTAATCTAGCCAGAAGCAGTCCATGGTTAACAGGTATGTATACTTCAAATAGAAAGTATATGAACCCTGAAACCAACAAAGGTGGTAGGTACAACAATACACCTTCAAGCAGCCGAGCCTGTTGGCAACAGACCCAACACTATCTGGCATAAGTGTCATATCAAAATAACACACACACACACACACACACAGCCATTCGCAGGATCAATTATACATCCGGAAAAAAAGTATTGTACACTGTACATACTCCCAGGTCAGGAACCAGCGGTGACGCTGATAATTATATTATAAGCCTAAACACACATTCTAAGTGGTGATGAAGCCTTCACTAGAACTGTTCAGATCAGGCGAGCGTACGAGAACACACGTGCAGCAACTGGTCAAATTTGTTCAACACTCCAATCTCAAACAATTGTCGAGGAGACAGTAAGCATAAAATGTCAATGAATAAAACAAATTGTGCATTCATAACAATATAAAAAGATAAATGTACTAATTTCCAAAGTGTTTTCGCGTGACACTCATCAGTGGAAAGCCGTCACTAAATTACTTGAGTAGGAATAACCAAAACAATCAATATAATTATAGCCAAAATGTTTAGGGAGTTTTTACATGTAGAGTGACAATTATTTAGCACACACTCACCGCACCGTATCCATCCACACATCCCCACATTTCCTACACTTAAAGATTCATCTATCAGATTCACTACCTTTCACAAGCTACATTATGCTACTGTTGGCTGTAACTTGGTGCCGTTTTACGTTATGAATTTTGCTATAATTGTCACTCTAAGTGTAAAACTCCCTAAACATTTTGGATAATATATTGATTGTTTGGGTTATTCCTAATTTAGTGACGACTTTCCACTGATGAGTGTCACGCGAAACATTTTGGAAATTAGTCAATTCATCTTTTAGAACAATAAGGAAGGGGTACATGGAAATACATTGCTCCAAGGATCACACAAATACCAATAAGCACACATAAACATCTTACCACCAAGTTGCTCTCTTGTCAGACCAATGCTGTGCGACCACTCTATCAACTTCTCGTCATCACCAATGGCATCGTAATCACTATCGTCATCGTCATCATCATCGTCTATATCATCGGAGTCACCTTCAACATCATCGTGATTACCAGTCCCACTGTCCTCACTGCTGCTAGCTCCATCAGCCACAGCCTTTGCTTCTAGGTGGTCCAAAAGAGAGAGAGAGAGAGAGAGAGAGAGAGAGAGAGAGAGAGAGAGAGAGAGAGAGAGAGAGAGAGAGAGAGAGAGAGAGAGAGAGAGAAGAGAGAGAGAAAGTGAGAGTAAGCATGACAAGCAGTCTTACAACACCGCTCCAGCCAAACGTTAGTTCGACAGAAAAATAAATCCATCATCTGGTGTCTTGGTACATGGTACCATGTTTCCTCACATAGGTACCTGCTAGTACAGTTGCGCTTGGTGAATCTGACCCAAAGTGCAAAACTGGCACTCTGCACCCATTCTGATTACATCATTGTATTTGTACATGTGTACGTCCAGACACATTCGTGCCACTTTCAGGGCGTCAAGGGCCGTGCAAACTGAGGGCACCAAACGTGCACTCTGAGTCGGATTTCACCGAGCGCAACTGTATTAACCCTTCTCTCTGCTCTCATCCAAGCGGCACTTTCAAAGAAAACGTCATCCCTGGCTGCTTTTCTTGCTTGTTGCCAGCAAGTGACAGCAGTACATTGTCATTCATTTGTCAGTAGAATGTGATAAGCATCTAGAGTAGGTAGCGTGAATGTACTGACATGCTGGCAGGTGCGGTCACAAAGTATGAGAGATAATACATGCATGTCCCATTACAATCATGTATACTATAGGTGCGTACTGGTGCTGGTATCAGTATTCACCATCAAACATTACTAAAGTCTTTACTTATACTGAGCTGGAATATAGACTCTCCTCTCTCCTCTACACAACCCTCTAGACCTGTATTTTCCATACAACATGGTAATTCAATGAAGAGATTAGAGGTTGGTATATGGACTGGTATATAACCTCCTTTTTTCTAGCTCAGTATATGCATAACTTACTCAGTTGATTAACTTATATGGGAAATATTTACCAAGATACAAATCTTGGCTGCACCTCGGTTAGTATCCAGGTTTACAGTCAACTTCGCTTATAACGACACTCGGCGGGGTATCAGAAAAGTGTCCTTATTCGCGAAGTGTCGTTATACCCGAAGTCCCATTATATGTGTCATAGTTGGATGGGACTTTGCTCTGGGCATGAAAATATGTCGTTATATCCGGAGTCGTTACTGTAAGACATGTTATTATAACGAGTCGCAAATTTAACGATTGTCCAAAATTCATAGGTTAACGAGAAGATATGTTAACGATCTTGCAGTATTCTGCCATATCCACACACAGCATATATGAAGCAGTACGGCCTCAACGGATCTTATTATAACGAAGAAATGACATCCGTTAAAACGTTAGATTTGCTTCCTCGTTATATATACATGTCTTACAGTATTAGCGAAGTTGACTGTATATTTCCCTAATGGCTAGGTTATAATAATCAGTGTTGCAACGAATAGCAAAATCACGAACGAATATTCTAACGAATATGCACAGTACGAACGAACGAATATTCTACTATTCTACCCATAAAGACGAGCCCATTTCAGCACACTATGTATGCTTCCTTCTTATTAGAACCAGAGCGCACTGAAACATGACCACATCTTTTGTGGAAAAATCAAGAAAATCGCGATTTGAATTCCGCGGCAAAAAAATACGAGTGGTGAGTTGCTGTTCTTGTTCTCCTCGCGCTCAGTGGACTGGATCTGTTCTGGATGCAAATCTTTCTTGCAAGTAAGTTTATTTGTTTGAGTTTGTATTCCATGTTGCGCTGAGTCGCCTAAAACGGGTCGTCGTCGATGTATCGAATGAAGAGCCTAATGACTATGTACTGCGGAGCGGAAGAAGACGACATCCTCGCGCTCCGTTCGCAGGATGAAATATTTTGTTGATTTGCGTCGGAAACAAAAGTCTCAAGTCTCTCAAAAGTCTCTCCCGCAAGGAGCTAGCTTTACGATCCAACATCACGAATTTCTACTGACTCGAAACTCAGCAAAGGGGACTGATTCGATTCGAAACTATTCAGGAACTGCTACAAATTACAAAGAAGAACGTAAGCATTTCTTGCGCAGGTGCAAGCTAGAAACGGCGAGTAAGTGGAACTGGTCAGAATCAGCTTCAAACGACATTACGTTGACGATGTCGTTTGTTGCCCAGTTGCAGTGACTGTTGCACATTCTATGATGCAAGAACACAGCGAGCGCGCTGCGATGAGCAGATTGAGCCTTTGCACTGAAAGCTGTACATGAAGTTCAGCATTTTGAATATTCGAATTCTGACTCGTATCTTCGAGTATTCGATGCAGCGCGAAAAATCGAAGATATTCGATTATTCGAATATTCGTTGCAACACTGATAATAAAACCGTAAAGTCACGGATAAAAGCCGGGCTTATAACTTAAGCACATAAGCCGCTTTCTGTATCAGGCTTTAATTCAAGCCAGGCTTGTATGCAAACCATGCTTATATGTACCACTGATATTTTTGCCAGGCTTGTATGCACATAGAAGCCAGGCTTCTACGCGCGACACGCGTAGATCTACCACTGACTACCGGTATGGCGGCAGTTTTGCTATGCACCGTACATAGCGCATGCACTCTTGACCTACCCGATCCGCGCTTGCATAGAAGCCAGGCTTCTACGCGCGACAGGCTTATATGCATTTGACCCGTTTGATTTTCAGGCTTCTACCCGCGATGTGCTTGTATGCAAACCTGGCTTTTATCCGCGACTTTACGGTATACTTATGCACAAGCGAGAGTCGTTCTGTCGAGAGCTGACATGTAGTGTGCTTATCGGGATGCCAAGAATGGGACTTAACAAGCCTTAGCCAGGTCCGAGCTACATGCACTGGCCACTGTTTGCCACACTGGTCTTACCTGCGGACATGGACTGCTGCTGTGCATCCTCTACTTTACTTCTATATGCAGAAAAGAGATGTGCAGTGGTACATATACATGCACACACATGCACACACACACACACACACGCACACACACACACACACACACACACACACACACACACACACACACACAATGCCAAAGCAGCGTGATAGTTTTAGACCAACGTAGACTTCGCTCTTTCCACATCTCCGCGCTAACCATTTTGCAATGTGTAATTTAAAGTGGAGGACCGAACATGTGGGTATCAATGTCTCACAAACAACTAAGTTACTTACGATTCACCTGGGTCACCAGATTGTTCGGCCATGGTTGCTGGCTGACAATGGAATGTCTATGCCGTCTTCCAGGGTACTAATGTAGCTCCAAGCAAGTTGGTAACCTCACACTTCTCCTTCAGATCACGTTACAGTAATACACAGTTTAGTAATTTCCCACTGCGTTTGACTGATTTTCCAAAGACGGCTGGAATCGGATAATCGCGGCCCGATCGTTTACTTAAAGTAGCCTGCTTATTCATAAACACTCTCTGCAAAGCAAGTACTGAGAGCTGATCTCCAAAACAGTAACACTACGAATGTCTTCAGCTAGCACCGAATCTTTAGTTCAGGTCCTTGATCCTGCCAACAACATTACACATTTTAACAATGAAAAAAAATGTATTCAAAAATTGAATTATTTTGCTCTCCAACCATTTCTCAAGCAAAATTTGACTGTGCATGTGTGAACTCGCCCCCATAGTTGCCATGGAGGCTGGACTCACAGATGCTTCGACCAATCGGACAACGCCAGCACATTTTGGATAAGTGACGTGTAAATCTACGTGTGTGATGCTTTTCCATTCTGCAAAAGTGGGCCACGAGATGTTTTTTGTTGCAGTTGCTTGAAAGAGAAGATCGTGTACTTTGAAGAAGTAACATTTCTCGTGCCATTTGCCATGGCGGTCTCGCAGGCCCTCATTCTCTTGTCTGTATTAGCATGCTCTGCATATGCTGTGGATTATGCAGGGTCAGATGTTATTGATCTGACGCCAACCAATTTCCAAAGTCGTGTAATTGATTCTGAATACGTGTGGATCATCGAGTTTTACGCTCCATGGTGCGGCCATTGCAAGTCATTGGCTCCGGAATGGAAGAAAGCAGCTACTGCTTTGAAAGGAATCGTCAAAGTGGGTGCCGTCAATGCCGATAGCCACCAGAGCCTTGGCGGTCAGTACGGCGTCCGGGGATTTCCCACAATCAAGATTTTCGGAGCCAACAAGAATTCTCCAACTGATTACCAGGGTGCACGCTCTGCCAGTGGCATTGTACAGGGTGGTCTCGATGCTGCCCGTCAAGTTGCTAATGCACGTCTTTCTGGCGGCGGTGGCAGTAGCAGCAGCAGCGGTGGTAGCGGCAGTCGTGGAAGCGGAAGCGGCAGCGGTGGCAACGATGTCGTTGAGCTCACCGAGTCCAACTTCAATGAGCTGGTAATGCAGAGTTCTGAGCCATGGCTTGTGGAGTTCTTTGCTCCATGGTGTGGACATTGCAAGAGCCTTGAGCCGCAGTGGAAGCGCGCCGCCACTGATTTGAAGGGCAAGGTCAAGCTTGGTGCCGTGGATGCCACCGTTCACCAGTCACTGTCGAGCCGCTATGGAGTGCAAGGATTCCCTACAATCAAGTTTTTCCCAGCTGGTGACAAATCCAGCCCCGAAGACTATCAGGGTGGACGTACCGCATCCGACATTGTTTCTTTCGGTGAGAGCAAGGCTCTCGAGAGTGTGGAGCCACCCAAGGTCGAGCAGCTGGTTGGACAGGAATCCTTCGAGGCTTGCACTGAGAAGCAGCTGTGCACTGTTGCTTTCTTGCCACACATTCTGGACAGTGGTGCAGAAGGCCGCAACAACTATATCACCCTCCTGCAGTCTATGGCTGACAAGTACAAGGCTCGGCCCTTCGGCTGGTTGTGGTCCGAAGGTGCTGTGCAGACAAAGCTGGAGGAGGCCGTCGATGTTGGTGGCTTTGGCTACCCAGCTCTCGTTACCATCAGCGCAAAGAAGCTGAAGTATGCACCTCTCCGTGGTGCATTCAGCAAGACTGGCATCAATGAATTTTTGCAAGCTGTCACCATTGGCCGTGGTAGCACACAAGCTATCCGTGGCTCAGAGCTGCCTAAGATCTACAAGTCAGAGCCCTGGGATGGCAAGGATGGAGAGATTCCAGCAGAAGATGACATTGATCTTAGTGACGTTTCTCTTGATGACGAGCCGTCCAAGGATGAGCTGTAAACTTAAAGCCCAGGTGCATCTGTGGTTCTGGTATATACAAGACTCTTTTTTTCCTTTTACTTTTCCGTTTTTTTTTAAGTTCGCGCTTGCGCCGTGATTCCTGTAGCTGATCTGCTGTGCTAGGTGTGCGTTGGCTCTCTGTGTTGCCATAGATTTATATTCACCCTTGCCCGAAGGCAATGTATAAAGTCATTGAGTACAACGTTTAATTTTATTGTATCATCTGGGGCTGTGCCCCTGTGGTATGTCTACCATTCGTTGATGTGTGATGGCTTGTCAGAGTGTGTGTTCTGGGAGAGTTTCCCTTGGCTTGAAATAGCGTAATTCTGCATGTAGAAGGTCGGAAGAATTGGGGTCGCAAACAAGTAATCAACAACCTGTCTCCGCGACAGAGCTGTGTGTAGTGAGTGGTATTGTATTCCCGGCAAATTCTAGTGGTGCTTCTCCGGTTGCCGAGGACTTGGTATGCGCAACCTGCCAGCGTTCATTCAAGTCTGATGTTGGCTCCAAACGCCCATCGCTGCGGACCTTGCCCCACAGTGACTGATCGCCAGGATTTTGAGACCATCGCCAAGTCTGCAATCGATGACAGTTTCTGGGGCGACAAGACTTGGAACATCATTTGAAGCACTGCCTCCATCTCTGTCAGTACCTCCCTTTTTGGGAGCGGCATGGCCATTTCAAGCAGCTGTCAATAATAATAGTAGTAGTGCAGTCCTGCTCACTGAAATCCAGTCACGTCACTCAAGTTTGCGCCTTGCACCATTTCGCAGCCCAGTGCAGTGTTTGCAGGTCTACAATTGTAGGGCTGCGCAACGCCCGGACAGTACTTCAGTGACGCGACTGGATTTCATTGAGCAGTGTGCGTGTGTGTGTGTGTGCGCGCGCGCGTGTGTGTGTGGTGGTTATGGAGGTGGTTGGCTGAGTACCGACACTAGTACTTACCAAGTCTGTAATCTGCTAGCCATTACATTATATTACTTTTTCATTTTACCACTTTTTCATGTGCTCCCTACTCTTGGTACCAAGAGCATGCTATAGTATAGCTAGCACATGAGCACTTAGGGTTCCCTGTAAAAAGACGGCAACGTCTGTAGGGATTTCCCTAACAAAAATACTACTACTACTCCTACTACTACATGAAAAAGTGGTAAAATGATCAAGAAGTCGTTGTAAAAATGTTACGACTCCCTGGCATAACAAAATTTAATCTTCAAGATTAAAGGGGAAGTATACCCTAAAATCAAATTTTCACCAGTTGTAGTCTTCGGGGTGCTGAGTCGAATGGTCTTGGTCCGAGGAAGCTGAGACGCTCCCTTCCTACTTGAATCCCAATCGAACTCGCGCACTTCCACCGAAACTGGGTGACTGCGCCCTACTAGATGGGGATTTGTATGCAAAATGTCACTAAAAGCGCCATTTCGTTCTTATAAAAGCACGGATGACCGCGATTGGCCCATATGTTGTAGTCTTTTGGACGCTGAGTCGACTGGTTTTGGTCCGAAAAGCCTGCGATGCAGCGTTCCTCCTTTATTCCCAATCGAACATGGTTGAACAAGTGGTCACGTGCTCGTGCGTACACCAGTCACCTGGTCACCGTGCCTGCAGGGTACAACTTACTAGCCTGTTTGACCTTTTTTGGGTGCAGTCCTGTCACTCGAGTTGAACTCGAGTTGAACCTTGGTGTGAAAGATGTCGCCTGCTGGCGCGGTGACCAGGTGATTTGGGCACCCAGGAGCACGTGACCGCTTCTTCAACCATGTTCGATTGGGAATAAAGGAGGAACGCTGCATCGCAGCCTTTTCGGACCAAAACCAGTCGACTCAGCGTCCAAAAGACTACAACATATGGGCCAATCGCGGTCATCCGTGCTTTTATAAGAACGAAATGGCGCTTTTAGTGACATTTTGCATACAAATCCCCATCTAGTAGGGCGCAGTCACCCAGTTTCGGTGGAAGTGCGCGAGTTCGATTGGGATTCAAGTAGGAAGGGAGCGTCGCAGCTTCCTCGGACCAAGACCATTCGACTCAGCACCCCGAAGACTACAACTGGTGAAAATTTGATTTTAGGGTATACTTCCCCTTTAACTTTAAGAGCACAAAATGGCATACTACTAGTATAAAAAATTGTAGTATGGGGACTGGGGAGATGAATGGTGGATTATGGTGCCCCTTTTCTGACATGACGTCATCATTGCATTTGTGAGGGGGCATGTTCGGTGATCTGCCGAACGCCGGGCCCGACCGGTGCACAGCGCAGCCAGTCTAGACTAGAGTAGAGCCGAGGTCAACGTAACGCATGAGGCGGCAAAAGCCAAGATTAGAACAAGTGTGACCGTGAATCATGAATGCAAACAAAGCACTGTCTGTAGATCTACTGGTGGTGTTCGTAGATCTACTCGCAGTGTGTGAGATCATGAGAGGCCTTGCACGTTACGTTGCTTGTAAGTAGTTACATGTAGTTGTAGCCAGTGTACAGCTAGACACAGCTTTTACTCCAAAACACAATCAACGGTGAAGATCCCTCACCACACAATTTTCTTTCCTTGATAGTTTCTAGGATCTTTACTTACTCTCTTCTGCTCCTGTTCTTATCTTATCCTTCATTCAACTGTTTTAGCACTCTCTGGATCCATCTCTGGTAAGATTTGCCGGCCAGCTAGGTGGTTCTGTTGGTATTCGCCGTGAATAGTGTTACGTTGCAACGAGAAAATATCAAGAATTTAGTGTGCTAAAAATAATTAATCCTAGTTGCCATTCCAAGCAATATCTTCGGTCTTTGTTCCTGCTGGGCAACGTTGTTCTCGTTCCTTCTAGCATTGAACCACCAGATTAAACTGTCGCTCTTCACCCGAAAAAGGTGAGCGTGCTTGGTTGATACTTTTTGTTTTGTTTTGAAAACATTGTTTGTGTGGAACAACGAAAAAAGACGAACAGTGTCGTGCAGATCTGGGTGTTGAGTTGCCCAAATAACACGAAGATAAGTTGGCCACCACATGTAACGTTTAATTGACCACCGGCACTCAATTAAGGGAAATAAAGTGAACAGTAACCCCGAACAGTAACTAAATTTACTAAATTTTGTGGCTATATCAAACCGAAATTTCTCAATATCTAATTCCCCACCGAAATTAAATCAGAATTGTGGGTGAACTTTTGCAATAATGTCATAATTATATTAATGAGCTGCTGCATTTCTCCAGCGCCGAAATGCACCCAAGTGTACGGATACCGGTGTCTTTCGCATGACAAGCCTAGTTCACATTCAATGGGCGCGTTCGATTACAGTAGAGTCGCGCGCTGAAGAACGTGGAGCCCAAGAACGTCCAGCCTGAAATTCTAAGAACACCACAGCCTAAAGCTAACAACGGCGGTGTTGGTTTTCTGGCAGCTTGTGGGATACATATGATCCAGTACGGATTGTTTCTAAGAACGTGTTATAAGAACGCAGCCACAGATTCCTGAAAAACAAGAACGCCCCAGGCTAACCCCTTGGAAACACTGTTCTTGGGCGCGCGACTACTGTACACACATTTCGGTCAATTCTAGAATTAGTTATGGTGGATGCGCTGTTCGATTACATAAATTCCGTCGTCAGAATCAATTCCGTCGAATCTGAAGAGAGGGCGGCATGGCTAATTCTAACCCCGGAATTGACGCATTCGACGTAAACGCCATGCTAGGTCCACATGCGCGCGAGGGTTCACGGGATCTCACGTGAAATTGGCAATCCTGTCGTAGCATTTGGGCAAACTCTGTACTACTTTGTAGTAGATTTGGTACTACAGCAGCACTCGGACCGTATGGGGGACAGACCGGGAGCTGGCTTACCGCCGGTGCTTCCCGGTGCCGATTTAGCTCATGTGAACCATCCCTTACTCTCTGTGTGTACTCGCAGTAACTATCATGTAAGCTAAAATTTCAGCCGCGACTAATTCCAGGGCTTTGGGGCTCAGGCCGACCGTGGCCGGAATATATTATATGTAACGTGTAAAACTGCACACCTCTCTTTACCAAAAGCATTGCGATTTGGGCATCAAGCCAACTTGCTTTCGTGCTTTCTCTTCAATTGAAATACAAGCAACTAAAACCAAGAAAACTGGAGCATCCTGCTGCATGACATCCGCTGTAACCATTGCAACTGAGTGGTAAATGTACGAAAGGAACGAGATGGAAAAAAGGAAGAAGAGGCGAGAGATGAAACACTGAGGGGTTCTTGTAACGTGTCGTGAGTGTTTGTCTTGTTGCACTGTAAATGTGTTTTTCTTTGTCCTTTGCTTTTCAACTCTCGCCTCTTTTCTCTTTTTGCACCTTGTTTCTTTCGTAGATTTATCACTCAGTTGTACATTCCCTACGTCGTAAAACTTGCGGTAGAAAGTTGCTGTATATCTGCTGATTCACAGTTCTGAAATTGCACTGTAGTGGGTGTCAGTAAAGTAAAGTTAGCATGTCCACATTACCACCGGCCATACACTTGTGTTTAGAACACAACCAGCCTAGGAAGTTTGGCTCATGCCGGGCCACGATCATGCCTGACTATACTATGGTGGCTGGTGCAGCGCCTAGTGGCGAGGGTGACAGGGTAAGTCCCACAGCCAGTGGCCAAAACCTCTAGCTGCATTCATGTTCCCGTCACTCCAACGTGTGAGTACCCAGTTGACCCCGGGTATCGGTGTAGTTCATGGCATGTAGTGCCTCGCGCATGCATCGCCACACTTGTTAGCACAGCACACTCTCCGGGGTCCCTGTCAGCGCAGGTTTTGAATTGCGACCTCATGATTCGCAGGCACGCCCACAATCGCTTCAGCCAAAGTGTTGGTCACTGAAATAAAATATTTGCGCTTTGTAAAAAAATTCATCAGTTCATGATAGCAGTATACCCATGAACAGCTAGCTGGCATTCGAATAGCCATTACTTTATACTGTTGTTCGAAGATCCCTAATTTTCCAACAAATTTACCTGCTTCGGCTGCCTCTTAGGGCATGTCATAATGGATTCCTGGTGGCCAATGTGTATCTTAATGTGTCGCTGTCTTTCTCCTTCTTGTTTTCGTTTGGTTTTGTTGGAAATGGCCAGTTATGTCGAGGTATTCACGCACGTATGACAGTGATGGTCGGGATAGTCAGTCGAGTGGCGGGCGTCGAAGCCTGGGAAATGTACCGCCAATGATGACAGGCCGTTCCTTCAGTGCTCCATCCACTTCAGCTGGCAACCCACCAGGAGATTCCACGTGAGTTTGCATTCCTTGCCATCATGCTGCGTCACATGCACAAGGGCTTGTGCCCTTCAAAACCCTGACAAGTTATTTTGCCCTGGAAATCCCTGGACTCCCTTCTAAATATGTTGTAAGTTAGTGAGAATGCCCTTACAAAACTTATCCGACATTGTCGTTTTTGTAGTTGGTGTTTACTCTGTGACTGTTCAGAATCTGGCACGTACCCGGAGACATGTCTTTCTGTATGTTGGGATTGCCATGCACTAGTATCACTCTTGACATTTTGCGGTACAATGTTTATTGAGGTACTTTCAATGGAGTCGGAGTGGTATCCCCAGCACTGGTTTGTCGCTGAATGCCAAGCATATACGATAATGTCGTCTGCGTATCCTCTGTAGTTCACAGCCCTCTTGGTGTGGAGGTGGAGCTTCGGTTTTTCTGCCAAACGTCTGCCTAATTTGGAAGCCACGCACCAGATTTGCACATGAATATTCTGAGTAGTCACTGCGCAGAAATCCTGAGCCGAATCTCCAGACGCCACAGACTACTACAGTTGCGCTCGCTGAAATCCTACCCAGTGCAAAGCTGGCACCCTGGACACGTCCCGATTACATCAGTGCATTTGTACATGTGTACGTCCAGCCGTATTCTTGCCACTTCCAGGGTGTCAAGGGTCGTGCAAATTGAGGGCGCCAAATATGCGCTTTGGGTCGGACTTCACCGAGCGCAACTGTAGTACATGATCTAGACATGTGCTTACCATTTCTTGATACAGTGTACTTCACTTCGAAGTGCATCAAGCAATGTTGCACATTGATCTTACAACTGCCGCAGTCCTGTGTGCAGTGCAGCTGTATTGTTCTGTGCTCGGTACTTCAAGTCATACGGTGCAGTGCCGGTATAACTATTGCCACCACTAGTGGTTTGGACTGCTTCTCTAGTCAGCCCCAGGAACTTGGTGAACCTGGATTCCCCTTCAGGATTGCGTCGCCACTCATTTGGCTTCGGTATGGTTCGTGCAGTACGCTATTGAATTATTTCTTTGGCCTGGTGTTGTTGTTGTTGTTGATGTGTGCAGGTCTGATTTTGAAACTGGCGTGATAGAGAAAGTTATGGTAAGGTACTCCATCCTATATGAAAAGAAAACTTTGGTGTAAAGTGTGGCTTATTGGTATCTGCCTATTTCAGTGCCAGTCTGTTGATGAAGGTTGTCTGATCCCTGTTTAGTGAGGTTCATTTGAATTGCTTCTACTGTGTGCATGTTTCGTGATGAATTCAGGTTCCTGACTCCTGGTTTGTCCGTGTATTTTTTATGCTTTTTCAGGGCCGGTACGGATTCATTGCCTGTCATGAGCGTGACTTGAGGATTTTCTTCCATATGACACAGTTAGTTACTGATGAAATTCATGGTGGAGTAGAGCACTTTAAGCCCGGACGTAAGTTATCTTGTCAATCTCCTCTTAGGCTATGGTAAAAATTATCTTTGATTCTCAAGTACGCGCGCACCGATTTTTGGCGGCGCACCGACGATTTTTTGTATTTCTATGCATGCATATGCGCATGAAAACGGTCAATGCGAAAGGCATGAATCAGGGAGTAGTAAAATACCGGTATTTTCTACTCCCTGGCCTGAATACCGGTATATGAATATGTGACCATGTACATATGTGTGACCCTATCTTTGGAAATAAAAAAAATTGTGGGAAATAAAATAAAAAATCGCTCGCTCGCACCGATTTTCACAGGCTCATGACCTGAGAATCAACTTTATTTTTTACCAAGGCCTTACAGTCCATTCAGAAAAAGATGGGCCCTGGCTCTGGCGAGCTCCCGTATTTGGCGATTTTTCGTGATTTCATTGTACACAGTGCAGTGCTGCGAAATTTGAACTTTGAAAAAGAGTCCAAAAAGGGTACCCGAACTGGGGTTCGAACCCCACAATGCACTGTTGCAGGCAGGGTCAAACGGCCTGGATTTTGATGGTTTTTTCCAATTCAATGCTCCTGGGGCAAAACCTGGCCGATATCCTATTCTTGTTATGGCTTGCGTTTTGGACAAATAGACTTCAGAAACATAATTGGAAGAGGATTCCATAGGGGATTGCAGAAAAAAATTCTAAAAAACTCAAAAGTTTGACCCATTTATGGCCAAAAGCTAGAAGTCCATCTTTTTCTGAATGGACTGTAGATCTACTGTTTCGTAACTTGTACCTTATGGCTTATGATCACAGCTTTGCTGTGCCCTGTTTAGTTCCATAAATCTCCTGACTGTGGCACGTATGGGCTTTGAGTTTGAGGACGGCTGCTCCATATATAGCTGCACAAGTTCTAGGTCTTCATTCTGTACTTTGGCTGGCATGTCTCTGTCTTACTTTATCGTGTTTCTCTTCGAAGGCCAAGGACCATTTTTCCAGAGAGGAATTTGTTGTTCCACGAGTTGCTGTGCGTTATGTCTGCCTTTGTGTGATTGCTTTTGTTTCCAGTTGAGGTTGAATTCAAAGTTGAAAACGATTCCCGGTCAGGCAAACCTGTGGCTTGTCAAATTCGTGCCAACCCTGCTGGACAACGGCCAGCTGTTGAGGTGAGCAAGTCGTGGAACATCGTTGTTGCAGATGGGTTTGTAGAACCGGACAGACTTGAGCTTCAGATATCTTACTCAGGAGTCATCAGAGTCATGTTGCACAGGGCGGTGATAGGTGAAGATTGGTGAAACCCTCCCACTTGATGCAGTATTGTGCCGTTCTGATTTTCCTGTGGCCTGTCGCTGTTGTAAAACCATTGCCTCTTGTCGTACGTTCTGCACTGGCTACAGCGTGTATCTATTTCTGAGCGTCGCTATGAAGGTGTTGTGGATTGTCCGGCCAAGCAAAAACAAGCAAGACGAACGCGCTCATTTCCACAAGTATGTACTAGATAAGGCATTGTAACGCCAATGTGCGTTTCATCTACTCATATTCAACCTATTTTTGGGAGTATGGCCGTTCATGCGTTGGACCTGTTTTCCATTAGAAAATGCAACGCAGGGTGATTATAGCTCACTTCATCTCTGCACAGTGTGAGACGTGCAGGTCTCTCAGACGCAAACGCGCGTGTGCGCACACACAGGATTCAGGATCTGCCTTGTTTCTGCTAATAGTAATAGCTTGCATGTTCTTGCCACCAGCCTTGCTCACTCTTCCCCCTGGTCGCCTCTTGCTGATTATCTTGCTGCTGTGCAGAATAGTAGCCGTTCTAGCCATGAGATGGGACGGTTGTCATATCGTGATAATGGGGTAAGTCAGTCAAGACTGGTGTTTTCCCTGCTTTGTGTATGGTATGGTGCTTGCACATTATCTACAGCAGCATGCACAAATCGGTGGCTGAAGAGTCGGTCTATTTATTTTTCAGACTTCATTTGAGAACAGTGCAGCCTGGCAGCCTCTTAAAACCATGGCTAAGACCCTTCGATTTAATGCTCACAAGACCACGGGGTCTGATAGTTTTAGGTCCGGGAGCTGTTCGCTGTTTTCCACTTTGAGGGCTCATAGGCTGTGTTTACATGAGGCGTTTCAACCCGGGTCAGATTTCAACCCGCCATGTGCACAAAATGAATGGCGCGTTTACATGACGCATTGCACTTGACCCGGGTTGAAATTTCGCCCCGGGTTGATTTCAACCCTACCCTTGGGGGGGAGGGTTGAAATCAACCCGGGTCAAAGATATCGTACTACGTACTTCTGTGTGTATCTCGCGCCAGGTTTGAACAGCACTGCACATGCAAATTTCGCGCGAAAGGATTCACGTGACCATACAGGACTCTAGAAGTGGAATTTTGGCGGCATATCAGTATTTGACCCGGGTCAACTGTCTTCATGTAAACGCTCACCTATTTTGTCTATCGTACAGACTTTCAACCCGGGCTGAACTCAACCCGGGTTGAAATTTCTCATGTAAACACAGCCATAGGTACAGCACAAATGAGGCTAAACTATTCCAGCATTGAAACCTTTTTTTTAAAACAAGACCACCAAGCCAAGCGCACCTTCCCTCAGTATGTGTTACGTGTACTCAAACTAAAAGTCTCTGTATCTGCATGGCTCACACATGTAGTGCGAACAGGGAAAGCACGCAGCACAGGAGTGATCGCCGACGAGTGCAGTACATTGGCATGTACTGACCATACTGCTCCGTGTGAGGACTTCAGCATCCACCCAGAGGGCGTGAAAAGTCCGACTCTTTTAAGGCTGCAGGTCGGAACAATCTGAGGGCTTGCATCAATAAAAATTTCAGGATGCTAGTGTTCGTAAAACTGATTCGAATGATCTTGGTCCGAAGAGTCTGCAACAAACAATTTCCCAATCGGACCCGCTCTGAACATTGGCAATTTTGCATTCAGGATGACTGTGTCTTTTATCTCACTTTCCGTCTCTGTCTGTCTCTCTGCCTTGCTAGGAATCATTTTATGTTCAGTTTTCGCTAGCGAATGTAGCTGATAAGCGCTTTCCACCACATCAAGATGACAAAGTGTCCTTTTTCATCGGTGTTGAAAAGCAGTGAGTCTCTACTGTTGTCATACATGTGTTATCTGATTGTGACATGTGCAGTCATAGCTGTGTATCTGATTGTTATGTGTGCAGTCATAGCTGTGTATCTGATTGTGATGTGTGCAGTCATACCTGTGTATCTGATTGTGATGTGTGCAGTCATACCTGTGTATCTGATTGTGATGTGTGCAGTCATAACTGTGTATCTGATTGTGATGTGTGCAGTCATACCTGTGTATCTGATTGTGATGTGTGCAGTCATAACTGTGTATCTGATTGTGATGTGTGCAGTCATAACTGTGTATCTGATTGTGATGTGTGCAGTCATAACCGTGTTCGCATGCTACTACTAGTACTAGTGCTCTGACCTGTAGGAATGAGATTGAAGTACATGTACCAGTTCGTGTCTTTCACATGTATTACTTTTATTAGAGAGGTTCTGCAAAACGAAAATGCAAACGAAGTTTCGCGACAGTCCTTGCGAAAGTGTGTACGAATTTTCGCACGAACTTTGCGTTCTGCACATTTTCGTAGTTTGCATGGGCCAAGTGCACGTTCGCCATGACCCGATCTCACGAAATTTCCTACGAAAGTTCATTTCGCGTTCGTGCAAGTTTCGCGTCCAAGGTTGCGAAAGTTCGTGCAAAGTTTCGCACTTCATGACGTAGAGCGAAAGTTTGTACGCATTTTCGTTTTGCAGAACCTCTCTAATAAATGTCATTGTAGATATATCGCATCTTTTTTTGGCAGGTTTTGATTTTATAGTGTACGCCGACCACCTAAAATTCACCCTCTATGGTCCACACTCGTGTTTAATATGCAGCGGAATTGCAGTCTCTTGAATTTTACCTTGAATTAGACGTAACTTTGAAAACGATTCCGCAGGATGCGCTGGAACAGCGCTGCAAGCCAGCAAATGCGTTTCGGCTCTGGGAGTGCGCTACAGGTCAATATCCACCCCTCACACCATTCTTGCTTTTGCGAAGCTCAAATACTTGTAGACAAACCCAGGAGTTTAATTTGAATAATATTTGAATGAATGCATCCTTGCCAACAGCTGATGGAATCAGGGAAAACTTTGACCAGTAAGTCACGCATTGCACCCCAAGTGCGAATTTACCGAGATCAAATTTAGGAGTTTTGTATCTCAAGAACTGCTTGCCTGCCTGATCACTTCAGCGATTATGTTTGCTGCTATTTTACATCGTGGCAAGGTGTATGGCTCGCATGCCAGCTGAATGAGTAAAGGATGGCTAGCGTAAAGGTGCGGAGCATTGCATTGTTCACTTGTCCACATGATCTGAATTTGTTTGTTGTTTTTCATTCAGAACGAATCGCCAGGAAGCCTTCAGCGTGTCGGTCATTGAGCCTGCATCAGCCAGTGTTGAGACTTCATCACGCGGCATTGTCCGTGATCTTCGAGATACGTACGGTTTCATTGAGAGAGCTGATACGCGCACACGGGTAAGCAGCCAGGCGATCACTCATCGCTGATTGCTCTGCCCCATTGTTTCATGTTGAAGCTCAAACCCCGTTCTTTTACAAGGACTTGTCAGAAGTGAGCTCACTGTACTTTGGTTACTCCGGTTAACTGTGTACTAAATAAATTTAACCTTGTCCCGTTCACCGTTTCCTTGTCTTGGCTGCTCTGAAAGTTGTCTCCCAGTCTTATTGACATGATGCTCTTGCCATGAGTGATATTCCCGAACCCCGACCACCACCCTGTGTAATACTGTACAGTATTGCCTGACCAAGCCCTGGACTGCATATCCGCTCTGATTTGGTCGAGCATCCTCACTCAATCGGAGTCTTTCACGTGTTGTGACTACTCGCCTGTAAGTGAGTGGTGGACTAACTGGAAAGAAAAGTCATCAGAAAAAAAGCTCTTTGTGAATATGCCATGTGGCTTAAAAATCTCTCTCTCTCTCTCTCTCTCTCTCTCTCTCTCTCTCTCTCTCTCTCTCTCTCTCTCTCTCTCTCTCTCTCTCTCTCTCTCTCTCTCTCTCTCTCTCTCTCTCTCTCTCTCTCTCTCTGTCTCTCTCTCTCTGTGTCTCTCTCTCTCTGTGTCTCTCTCTCTCTGTCTCTCTCTCTGTCTCTGTGTGTGTCTCTCACACACACGCACACCAATTTACAGATATTTTTTCACTTCAGTGAGCTGTTGGGGGCTGATCCACAAGTCGGTGACTGTGTCGAATTTTCAATCCGTGAGCAGCAAGTAAGTGGAAAGAATCTAGTTGTCAGTAAGTTATAGCAAGCTGTGATTGTTTTGGTTTGTCTCTCCATTTGGTTTTTGCTGGGAATGCTTTACTTTATGGTACTATCAGCTTCAATTGTTATACTAGTACCGTCTTTTCCGGAGTATAAGGCGCACTGGAGTATAAACCGCATCCCCCATTTTTTGGCTCGAAATATAGTGGTCTACCCTATTTCATCATCATCATCATCATCATCTGCATTGCCGAAAAAATAATAATAGTAAAAATTAAAAATAATAAACGGCATTATGCAGCTGTGTAAGCAGTAGATGCACAGTGTGACTGCCAGGCATCTCTGTCAGATGCCAATTGGCAATTCTCATGCAGAGACATACCAGTCCACGAAACGATATTGTCAGCAAAGGAAATCTTCGGACGACCACGCTTTCTCTTACCATCCACAACACCAAACATCACGTCACGTACAAGCTCGCAGCCAGATGGGCGGCATGTGTGCCCGAAATAGGCCAGTTTGCGTATCTTGACCCTGGCTAGCAGCTGTCTCTGTACTCCCAAATCCACCAGGATACTCTCATTTGTGCGCTTCTCCATCCAGGATACTCTGAGCAGACGTCGGTAGCACCACATTTCTGCTGCCTGTATTCGTCGTTCATCTGTCTTCCGGAGAGTCCAACTCTCAGCTACATACAGCAGGACAGACCACACAAGGGCATGCATTATCCGGATTTTCAGCTGTCTGGAGATGTTGTGGTCTTTCCAGATGTCAACTAACTGCAGCATCCGCTCTTTCGCCATGGCAATTCTTGACCGAATATCGAGGCTGCAATCACCGTTTGTTGTCTTCCAGGATCCCAGATACTTGAAACTGCTCACCTCTGCATTTCGTTCTCCATCGACCACAAGTGGCGTTGGAGCAGTATCGTTTGCACCAGCAATACAGGTTCCGATATGCATGATCTTGGTTTTGGACAGATTCAGTGACAGGCCCCTCTCTCTTCCAGCGTCATTAACAGCATTGGTGAGGGTACACACTTCTGATGGATGTGCACACAATCCCGTGTCATCTGCATATCGTAGGTTCGACAGCTGGCGTCCTCCGATTCTCACACCGATACTGTCCACATCAGCAACACGCATAACACTCTCAGTATACAGGCTAAATAGATGTGGGGACAAAATACAGCCCTGTCGAACACCCTTCTTGATGGCGAACTCTGGCGAATGCGAGCCATTCCATCTGATAACTCCGCTCATCCATGTGTAAAGATTCTGGAGCAAACAACTATATGGCGAGGGAAACCAAAATCCAAAAGGCAACCGAAAAGATGTAAATGGTTAACTGTGTCAAAGGCTTTACGATAATCGATAAATACAATGGATATAGGACTCTGCCATTCAAGAGATTTTTCGATAATGATTTGCAGAACACAGAGCATATCTACAGTACTGCGACCAGCTCGAAAACCAGCCTGCTCATCTGGTAACTCAGCCTCTATCTTCTTTTTCATACGATTCAAGATAATTGTCAGAAGAATCTTGCTTGCATGTGACATCAAAGCAATGGTCCGATAGTTGGAACACTCCTTAGCTGATCCAGCTTTGGGTAGCATGACGATTTCGTGACGTTTCCACGCTTTTGGCCATCTCCCTGTTTATCACCATTAATTTGATCATCGAAGTATAAGCTGTATCCCCTTTACACTTTTTTTTGGGTGAATTTTGAGTGTTCAAAGTGCGGCTTATACTCCGGAAAATACGGTGCCTGTTTTTTCTTGCCTTCAATAAAAGAATTCCATCATACTGTCATGTTTGTATCTTCAGGATGGTCGACAATGTGCCTGTAAAGTGTCTGGCCTGCCTGAAGGCAGTGTGCGCATGGAGGTAAGCACTACGTGTTTTCTATGCCATTGTTGTACTCTTGATCTCAAGTCCATTTGTTGTATACTACAGTAAAACCTGTAACTAAAGACCACCGTGACTAGCGACCAGCCTGGTACTGCAGACCACCGTGACTAGCGACCAGCCTGGTACTACAGACCACTTCGCCAGGCACGGACGGTCTCACATTCAAAATGCACTGTGACTAGCGACTACCTGCTGAACGCGACCAGCGACCGCCTTTTCCTGTCCCAACGATGATTTTTGACCTGTAACTAGCGACCGCACTGTAGGAAATCAAATGTTGCTGGAAGCTCCTTCTTCAAATTTTGATGATTTTCCGTGGTCCTGAAAGGAGTCTTTCGATACTACAGCTGAAGAAATGAACGCAGGTCATTTTGACTGTGGAGTCGGTGTGGACTGCACTACACCTGTCAGAATTTCAAGCACTGTCTAGAATAAACATGATAGGAAACGTCTTGGAGAGCGCATCGAAAGCGCTCTGATTGATGTTACTACTCGGAGGAGAAACGAAGACTAAGCGGCTCTGTCACCCCAGTAATACACACGAATCGACGATGGCATCAAGGAATCCAGAAACAAAGCAGCACCGCAAGGTCCTGATGCTGAAGGATTGCGTTCAAGCAATCGAGAAGTCGCAACAAGGACAGTCGGTACGATAGATCGCATGAAAAAATTTGAAGCCCAGCGCAAAACGAAACTTCCACAGGGAACGTTTTGACTCCTGGCTTCAGAAGTAGGAGCTGAATTTGATGTCCGCAAAAAATATTAATCTTCTCTCTCTCTCTCTGTCTCTCTCCACCTCTCCGTCTTTCTCTCCAAGTGTTGTTTGACCTAAAATAAGAATGGCATTGCGCAAGTCTTGGGGAATTGTATTAGCTGCATTTTGATATACATATCATATAATGGGATCCATATATAGTCGCACGGTGCAAACCTCTAACTAAAGACCACCTGCTACTAAAGACCGCTTTTGCTGGCACCAAGGGGTGGTCGGTAGTCACAGGTTTTACTGTACTTGGAAACTAGAACAGTGCTTTTCACTACTCATATTTCAGCACAGTAACATTGGGTGCCAAACAACATTCAGGCTAGAAAGACACCGAAATGTAAGAATGTGCCAAACTGGAACAACATTAGGAACAGAAAAGGACCAAGGAACTACAAGTTATATAATGTCCACTAATACCACCAGTTTCTGACAATCAGCTCGTGCAATAACATTGCACGACACTGACCAACGGTACTGACATGATTGTCAGTATCTGGTGGTGTTAGTGGACATTATAGCGTAACTTGTAGTTCCTTGGTCCTTTTCTTTTCTAAAAAAATTATCCTTGGCCCTCCATCCAAGAACATTAGGAACATTAGTATTTTGTTTTTTCAATAGACACCCTTTATTAACCCTTTACCATCCGACCAAAATTCCCCAGCAGTCCCAAATGCAATAATTCTCACCTTATTCTGAGAATATCTTCGGTTCTAATCAACCAATTTTCACAATCTTGGGCATTTTGGAAAGCTCTCCACGAGCTGCGTACATTGCGCTCAAACAGGACACTGCTGAGATCACATATCCAGCACCAGGGAGCTTCAAATACTCCCCATCGCTGGATATACGAGGAAATTCTCTCCTCACCAGCCATTTCTCGCTCCTTCATCGTAAACATTCCAAATATTTTCCCTGAGTTTCTTTTCATGCTGCCCACGCGCTCAAAGCATGCCAAAGTGACTCAGCATGTCAGTAGAGGGGAAATTCCCCGCTCGAGGTCAGTCACTCGGAAAGAAATTCGACTTTTGCCGTGGCTGAAATGTCGAGCGTAAGACCTTTGGCGTGCGACATTGCAGCTCTTCACCAATTGATGCAATGGAAAGCTGAGCTCTTCGGCTTCTTCGTAGATACTTAGTTTTTTAAATTCCGCCAAGAATCGATCGAGTTACGAATGTTTTAGTGTATGTATGTCCATCGATCTCTAGAGATCGATTTAAGTACGCACGGATGGTAAAGGGTTAAATAGCAAAAAAAACGTTATGTTGTAACGGTATTATAGGCTATTCATGCTACGTTACAATACGCGTCACGTTTTGGAATACGACGTACTGGAAGACGTCATTTTCATGCAGGTGCATTCACACAGCCACGTATACGCTTTTCGTACAGCTGTGCGCACAGCTTCTTTTGGACACAAACAGCTGGGAACGACAGAACGAACCTCGGTACAGGGATCTGGATATGTCGTCTAGCTTCTTTTGGACACAAACAGCTGGGAACGACAGAACGAACCTCGGTACAGGGATCTGGATACGTCGTCTACGTTTTCGTATCAGGGGTACGATTTTCCCGCCACATTCCATGTTGTCATGGCTATCCGGACGAAAACGTCACGTACGCCACGTTTGGGCGTAGTGTGAATGGCCCATTAGGCCACACCAAGTTATTTCTATGTTTCGCGTCACACGCGCGCGTACCTTTTCGAATCCTTGACAAGAAAAAAAAGAACCTAGACGAGCCAATCGATGGCTATTCTGGCGAACATTCTCTAGCCAGTATGGCAGATCAGAGGTTATCAGCTTCTCCATAATCTTGCATTCCAGGCTATGGTACGTAGAAGGTGAGAGAGATGAAAATTTCTATTTTTCCAACCCGTGCAGTAGGCCTAGGGCCTGCTCACCAAGCGAGCAGAGATTCCAGGTGTCAAGGACTTCGAGATTTTCCACGATTGTGATGGAGCGGGATCCCACTCGACTCATGTCAAAATGCAGAAGGAGCCATCCATGAAATCTCTTACTGTATCGCTCCAGCCCAGTCTGCCAGCTGTCCTGTGACGACTTGTTGTCGTTTTGGATAGACGTGACAGTTTAGTAGCGGTATTCTGTGTGCAACATGGCTCAGTACACATAGAATGGAGTTTTGTTTTTTCTTCTGTTTTCCGCCCGCCCGCGTGCCTTTTCCAGAAAATATCCGACGCGAAACATAGAATTAACTTGGTGTGGCCTTACCGTAAGGGGAAAAATACTAAGATTTGAATTTTTAACAAATTTCTAAAATGGCATCACAAACCGGGATATTCGGTCATCAGTGTTCTGAAGTTGATAGATATCACTTCAAGGATAGCTAGTGGATGAAAATTTAAATTAACTTGTCAACTGCATTGTACGCTGCAAAAGCTGGGTTTTTGAATTTGTAACTAGTGGCTGTGTCATACGGTGGAATTGGATAGGTAGCATAGCATCGCAGCCATGTTTTCGTTCTCACAGATTTACACCAGGCCCGAACGTACCTTGCCAGAGTGCTCAAACTGACAAGTCAGTTGAAGTTTTTTTGGTTTGGGTTTGAAAATCGTTATTCTACACATGCATTTTTCTAATTTCTTCTCCAGCGTATGTTTTATTGCATTTAATTTTTAATCCATTGTGTTAATTTTTGCCCCTAAAAAAGGCCTGTGTCTATTATCACTGCATGCTCAGTGTACCTGTTCTATATGAATGCACATGTAAAAGCACAGAATAAGGCATGTACTCTTGCTGGCCACTCGTGGTGTACGTCATTCATTCTGCGAACTATGTGTGTGTGTGTCTGTGTGTGTCTGTGTATGCGTGTGTGTTTTCGTACAACTCGTTTGTTCTGCTTTTATTAGGATGTTGAATCTGCTGAACGTGTGGGTACTATCGAAATTGGTCTGGACAGCACCAGGAAGGGAGAGGTTCGTTGTTGACAACCGAGTATACGTGTGTGCGCGCGCTGCTAGTCCTCTAGTTCTTGTATAGTGCTGTTGAAGATACACACTGTTGAGTCACCTCCACCATTACACTGTGCTCCCTAGATCCTCCTGCACACAACCATCACCACTGCGAGGACACTTCCGTAGACGATATTGATAGTCATGGTGATTGATTTTCCGCGCCAAATTTCTGACGCTGCATGCATGTCCCATGCCCGTCGACAGTACTTCACACTTTCCTCTTCTTGCGTTGTCATCTCGGCTATGCCAGTTTTGTGTGTGAAAAACCCTATATAATAGCAGTTTGGTCTATACTTTAATCATTCAACATCTACCTTCACTGATGAGCTATATGTTAGCGAAACAGCTGTCTGAAGGAGTGATCAATATCGTCTACGGAAGTGTCCTCTCAGTGGTGATGGTTGTGTGCAGGAGGGTCTAGTCGGCTAAGAGCGCAGTGTAATGGTGGAGGGGACTCAACATTTTCTTCAATGTCCGAGAGCTCTGTCGCCCTCTGTAATAATGAAGATACGCACTGGATTTGCAATTATTGTAATACCCACTGTATGTGCTGAGTGCCCGTATTCATTTGATGTTCAATCTTCTCTACGTATCGATGCAGGAAACGCAATTTGGCCGAATTAAATGTGTCATAAACAGCAGGTAAGAGAAGAGAGCTGCTTGGCAGCCCTGCATTAAACAATGCCTAGGACACCCTGTGGAAACTGCAGACTTTCCATCATTTTCTGGTTCTCTATACCTACACATACTTCAAAGTACACTGTTTGAAGAAAAGAGGTCCAGTCGCTTTGTGTTGTATCGTAAAGCTTCATGCCGATGCCATCATCCGCTAACTACAAGTGTTATGGGTAGATAGCTCTATGCTCTGTGCATTGAGCACTTTTGTTCGGCACTTGCCACAGCGTTCTAGGTCTCTTTTAAATTATCCTGGTGATGGAAGTCTCGCTTCAGTTCAGCAGCATTTTTTAAATGACACAATCATATTGCTTCCATGTTTCCATGTCAGAGAGGAAACGCTTGACTTTGCTGATCGTGAGTTTGATGGAAACTACACCTTGTCACCTGGTGATCGGGTCTACTTTCATCACTCTGTTGGTACGTAGTGATGCAGTACACACATCTCTCTCTCTCTCTCTCTCTCTCTCTCTCTCTCTCTCTCTCTCTCTCTCTCTCTCTCTCCCTCTCTCTCTCTCTCTCCCTCTCTCTCTCTCTCTCTCTCTCTCTCTCTATCTATCTATCTATCTCTCTCTATCTCTCTCTATCTCTCTCTATCTCTCTCTCTCTCTCTCTCTCTCTCTCTCTCTCTCTCTCTCTCTCTCTCTCACACATACACACGCACACACACACACACACACACACACACACACACACACACACACACACACACACACACACACACACACACACACACACACACACACACACACACTCTTACTTACTTACTTACTTACTCACCCACTCACTTACTTACTTACTTACTTACTTACTTACTTACTTACTTACTTACTTACTTACTTACTTACCCCCACCCCGTCTCTCTCTCTCTCTCTCTCTCTCTCTCTCTCTTCTCTCTCTCTCTCTCTCTCTCTCTCTCTCTCTCTCTCTCTCTCTCTCTCTCTCTCTCTCTCTCTCTCTCTCTCTCTTACTCCGTAAACAAAGCTGGTGGTGCACTCATCCTTCTATCACGGCTGCTGTTTGGTACCGTATTTTCCGGAGTACATGTATAAGTCGCACCCAGTTTTTTTGTCACGCAATACAGACATCTATCCTGTATGCGGCGTATAAGCCACATCCCGCATTTGCTGATTTTACGGCTAGCAGCTTGATTGCCTACTTCCCTGGCAGTATGAAGCGAGTCTCAATGCTGCTACGCTTCGACAGTGCCATGATTCAGCTTTAAACGTCAGATGAAAGGACACGACATTAACTTGCACTGATCCAATGTGTGTAGTCCATGCGCATGTGCCCAGTTGTGTCGTTACGGCTGTTGCAATTTTGCAAGTAACAGTAGTTATGCGAATTACTGCACACTACTTCGCACACGGTTCATTTGATCATCGTAGGAAAAGCTGCACCGACTTTTGGGTGAGTTATGAGTTTTAAAAAAATGCGTCCTTTACTCCGGAAAATGTGGTGTGTTTCTTGAGAACTGTACTTTTCTGACTATAGTAGATGACATCATCCAACACACAATCCTTAGTCCACCCTGGCTTTAGTATGGAAGGCTTCAAGCAGAGAAATTGTTCACACCTTTTAAAAAAACTAAAGCTTTACACTTGCCTCATGTGGATTGTGTCCCTCTTGCTCTGGCATGTAACTGCCACAGTCTTATCATTGTTAAAATTAGATTGTCCTTTTCCTGAGCCTCTTCCACTACTCATTTTCATGATCCTCTGCCCTGCTTCTTTTCATGGTCCTCTGCCACTAATCGTTTTCATGGATCTCTGCCACGAATCATTTTCATGGTCCTCTGCCAATCATTTTCATGGACCTCTGCCACAAATCATTTTCATGGACCTCTGCCACTACAACTGTACTCATTTGTATGGACCTCTGCCACTACTCATTTTCATTGTCTTTTGCCCTATTCTTCTTTTCATGATCCTCTGCTCTACTTCTGTCGCTACTCATTTTCATGATCCTCTGCCCCACTCATTTTTATGATCCTCTGCCCTACTTCTTTCTGTCGCTACTCATTTTTATGATCCTCTGCCCTACTTCTTTGGTTGCTATGGCTACTTGATGCGGCAAAAATAATGGAGATACCCCTGCATGTGGCATTTGCAGTTTTTTTAATCGCATTAATTCTTGCTCATTTTGTACTGCAGGTCGTGGTGGACAGCGCAAGCATGTGGCATTTGCAGTTTTTTTTAATCGCATTAATTCTTGCTCATTTTGTACTGCAGGTCGTGGTGGACAGCGCAAGGCTGTCAAGGTGTCTCTACTGGACCTGGCTGCAGACTGTGTGAGAGAAAAGGTGAGAGTTACTATCCCTGTACAGTACATGTACTGTCTGAGCAGCGCCGAAAGAGCGAAATTTCATACACAGAAGAGGTCAGCGATGCCTTGCTGATGTGTCTCAAAGCTCGATGCAAGGACGTGCGTCACCATGGCATTCGCGCAGTTTGGTGTAGCTTGTACGAATCTACAAGCAACTCTTGAACCTTTCGTGCAACTTTGCTGCAAAGAAAGTCTGAATTGCACGTCATGTTGCATGCATCATCGCGAACATTGAGCCACGCTCAACCTCTGCAATCAACCCTTTGCGACAGCTGCAGGAGTTGCGCGACTAGTGCCATTTGGGTATTTCCTGGTTTCGCGGCCGTCGCATTGCGAAAAAGCTTCTGCGAATCCCGCTTTAGTACGTACTCGAATAAGGCGTGAAGAGTAATGGTAGCCCATCCCCGATTCTGATCATAAGGGGCAGGAAGTGTTAGAGACCTCTTGTTTCAAAAACCTCCCAACACAGTGTGGTTCTTATCTCCTGTCCCTTGTCACCTACATGTACGTACACCTGCTCAATGCAGACATTTTTCGAGGCACGGATTTTCCCTCCAAACGCGCACATACTAATCAATTTGGATTGCACGTACTGGTACTTCACCAAGACGTACGGTTGTGTATGATGTATTAGTAAGCTTGTTGTTGTTTTTTGTTTAGCTTTATTTTTACTTCACCGTAGGCACAGGCAAAATCTGAATTCTCGCTGGGCGTATTGCCACAGTCCTCACAAAACGATGAAGATCCTGTCCCTGAAATTGCTGGCCAGTGCGTATGGTGCACTTGGAGTTTCTTCGTGAGCCATTAAAGCACGATCTAACTCATGGCAGCCGTGAGTTGACTGGCTTGCGACTTGCTGTGTGTCGGTTTTTGGCCCTACAACAGCAAAAAAAGTCATTAATGGGCTATGGACACTGCACTATCATTGCAACCTGAAATAGTTGAGCATTTTGTTGTGCATGTATCACATGTGCTTGTGTTAGTCATAGTACAGAACCCAAGTTTAGAAAAGAAGTACATGTGTCTCGGATGCCAAATGCATGTTCTGGTCCAGAGGGTACACTTTATCAGAGCTCCACTGAAGTGTTCTGCTTTCTGGTGTGCTAAGCTCTCTTCTCTTTTTTCCCCACCGCTGGTGTAGGGTATAATCATCTCATTGAAGGAAGGATCGCACTTTGGCTTCATCCGTTGCTGTCAGCGTGATGATCTACGTGTGTTCTTTCACTACAACGAGTGGCTGGAGAACAAGACACGGCCGTCAACTGGAGATGAGGTGGAATTCGAGTTTGTTGAGTCCCACGCCCAGAACCAGCGTCGTGCCATTCGGATAAAGAAGCTGGCTGCTGGCTCCGTCGAGGTACGTAGTTGGATGACGCTCTTCTGAGCAGGTGTTTTGGAAAAAGATGTATTTATTGCCGAAATCGATCACTCCTGCCATGTACTTCGAAGAAGTTTTTTGTGCATCGAAGTCACTACTGCTACATGACCTTGTGACTGTACGTTTTATTCACTTGACGTGTGTGTGTGTGTGTGTGTGTGTGTGTGTGTGTGGTGTGCTCTGGGCAGGTTATTCACGAGGAATTCAGCCACGGTGTGATTCAGACTGCCCCCAGATTGAACCGTTCGGCGTCCAAAGGATCAGTGACCAGTGTTACGTTCAGTGACAGGTGAGCGATTCTTTCCTGTTCCGGTTCACCTCTTCTCCTTTCTTTCCTGCTCTCCCTCTCTTGCCTTGAACTTGTCAGTTCGTTCTATCCTGTCTCTCCTTTTTCGTCGCACTGACTACGAATATTTTCTTCGAAATTTTCGTCTTCATTTCCTATCTTGTCTTATCTCTTCACAGCCGAGAGCGTGAGATGGAACCAGGTTTGATTCGTGTCAGCAATACCTCTGACGAGAGCACCAGCAGTGTCAACTACTTTGAACGGGACTGCGTCGACACGAGAACAGTTCCTTATCCGGGTGATGAGGTGAGGCTTTCAGCTGACTGTGTGCTTCCTGTTGCTGATTCGCTTTCTTTCTGTCTTCGTGTGCTCATCAGTGCGGTGGATCTCATTTGTTTGTCTATTCTGACTATCCTCTCATGGCCCAATATTCTAGTGCACTGATGCTGACGAATAATGCGGCTGATGTCTATTTTGGTTATGTCCCTTGTCAGGTGGTGTTCCGACTATGCGAGAACAAATGCACTGGAAATCTCACTGCCGTCAAGGTTTCAGTTATCCGTGCCGCTGAAGTGCAAACGGAAAAGGTTAGCTCTACTAGTTATCACAAGGAATGCAACAAGCCCTCTCTCCCTCTCTCTCTCCCTCTCTCTCTCTCTCTCTCTCTCTCTCTCTCTCTCTCTCTCTCTCTCTCTCTCTCTCCCTCTCTCTGTTAAACGTACAAGACAAGGTCACCGCTCCTTGCCATTTCTAATACTCCTGTTATTGCTACTGTTTTTGCCACTGTTCTCAGGGTGTCGTTGTGGCTCTCAAGTCCAACTTCGGCTTCATTGAGACTGACGACCATCGAGAGCAGCTCTACTTCAAGATAAAGTAAGTTTCTTTTGTGCCGTTTTCTGTTTTACTGCAACAAATGTGAGGCATGGCAGAGAGTTAGGGGTCGTCCGCAATTATCGAAAGTTTTTTCCAATCCGTAGTAGCTTCAAATTTTTCCTCACCCACCCACCCACCCCCCCCAGTCCGTAATAAAATATTATTGATGGACACGCAACGCAACACATATGGAACAAACTCAATGAGTGCTGGTCCATCCTTGTTCGTCGTCTTGGACAACTGCCACAAGCAATTTATTGTTCTGTAATAATCAGAGTCACCAGCGGTTTTGAAAAAGGGCTGCTTCTTCACCGCCTTTCCAAACAACGTCGCCTGTCTGGACATAGTCAATAACAGTCGTCAGCGCCAGCGCTAGACGGAAGGACTTCAAAGGAGTGCATGGAAGACGGTACTCTGGACGAAGGAGACAGTGAAACTCAAAAATAGAAGGTGTCGACTCGCCGTCGAATGCGCCGAACTTTATGATCCCCGGCCCAGGAGCAGCCAAGGAAGCGCGCGCGGGGGCGCAGAAACTGCCAGAACTACAAAAATATTATAAGACTTTAGTACTCAATTATAAGACTTTAGTAGTAGACAGTTCGCGCGCAGCCGCGCGTGGAAAACAGGGGCTACACGTAGACGTACACGTGGCACGCGCACGTGTCATTTCGGAAGTTTTTCAATCCGTAACTGGCCTTGACCCACCCACCCACTTTCGAAGCTACTACGGATTGGAAAAAACTTTCGATAATTGCGGACGACCCCTTACCATGGCTGTGGAATAATCTGTGATGCTCTGGGCACATATATCCCTTTGTCCTTCTTGTCTTACAGGGTTCTAGCCGGGGGGGGGCACTACTCGTTTGTCGATTTTTTTATGCCATTCAGCAAAAATGCAGTCGATAGTCACATTTGTCTGGGGTGAAGTCCCCGTACGTTGTATTTCGCATGGCAAGACAATTTTGGAGAATGGAAAAATGGGTTACAGGATAACTGTTCCCCCACCCCCACTCCTTCCCTACTATTTTAACCTGGTTAGAACCATGTCTTGTGTTGTTTGTCTCAAAGGGGTGATGAGTATAAGATCATGGATGAAGTATCGTTTGTCGTCAGCCACCGAGGTGGTAGGACGTTTGCTGAAGACATCGCAGTTTTGCCGCCAGGAAGCTTGGACCACGAGGTGAGGCCGCAATGGTGGGAGTGCTGTCCTGTACTGATGTCGCATGCGTGCGCGTGTCTGTGTGTGTGCTTGTGTGTATGCGTGTGTGTGCATGCACATGTGTGTGTGTGTGTGTGTGTGTGTGTGTGTGTGTGTGTATGTGTCTATGCTTGTGCATACGTAATACGTGTGTGTTCCGTAGGTTAGACATTGTCTGCCTGCTCTGGTGCAGTGTATGTTAGTACTGGCCAGTCTAATTTAGCCTCATGGTCCAGATCATTGACGTTACCGTATTTGCGGGGTGATAGCCACGCCGGGGTCTAAGCTGCACACCCCCCCCCCCCCCCCCCTTGGGGTCGAACTTTAATTTTTTTGGCAATCTAACTTGGTGGGGGAAAGGAGAAAACCAAAGTCAAAGAGGAGTGTATGGGTACCTACACAAGACGTTACTAATGGCACGGCTGAAGTTCTAGCAAAAGTTTCCTATGTATGTAGTTTGTCCTTCGCTCTGAACTTACAACACGTAGAAGCTTTCATTGCACTATGTCATGTGAAAAGCAGTCAAATGACACCATACATGCATTATACGCTTGGAACGCTGTAGCGCTGGTCGATTCACATCCAGCATTCGGAGTCTAAGCCGCGGGGATTTTGAGGGCTATTTGTTTTAAAGCGCAGCTACCGGCAAATGCGGCACACTCTGATTTAAACCCATGTATGCTGCACTTGTGTGTGTGTGTGTGTGTGTGTGTGTGCGTGTGTGTGTGTGTGTGTGTGTGTGTGTGTGTGTGTGTCAATGGCTATGTGGGTGTGCCTGTATCTAACGTTGCACCTGTGACGGTGTGCGTCATTCTTGAATCCAGGTAACACTAGGCTTCACATTGGAAGGTACCGTCACCAAGCCAGTAAATGATGAAAGTGTCGTAAGTAAACCATTGCCTGTGTTCATTTATTATTGCAACTGGCACTGCATTGCATTTTGTCTAGAACTGGATGTTTGCATCCTTCCAAGCTATCTTATCGTATCCTGTTGTGACAGTGTCTTCACCTTGCTTTTGTAGCAGTACAGTGCCTGGTGGCCGTTAGGCATCTACATGACTACAGTTCATTTCAAAACTATAGACGCGCAGTGTTTTTGAAATATTTCAAATTTGGCTGGAACTTTTTGAGAATAGTTTTTGGAATATTGCTCAGGTCCGCTCCACAATTACTCTCATATAGTTTCTAAATGATTGGATAACAGACGCCCAATTTGGAAATATTTATGCACAAAGTGATCACAGATTTTATGTGGTATAGATGCTGGCATAACGGTTTTTGCCTAGGTACGCGTCTATAGTTTTGAAATGGACTGTAGTACATGATATTTGGCTTCGATTCAGCCATGTGCATGTATGTGTCTGACAGTCAGTATGATGTAGTGCTTGAGTGCTTGGTTCTGCGTATGATGTGTTCGCATTTGGAGAGGAAAATATTCCTTTTTCTTGCAGCAACCTTCGCTCTTGCCGTCGTAACGTTTGCAATGTAAGTTTGCTGACAATCCGCTGGGTGTTTTTGTTTGTGCGTGTTTAGGAGGCATACGCAGGTCTGGTTGAAGTGCCCACAAGCGTCTTGGAGACCCTTGTCGGCAGTCAGACAGAATCGTGCAGCACTGAATTGAAGCCGTATGTTGATACATTCATGGCAGAGGCTACCACAGTACTGGAGGCTAGTTGCCCTCTGACGATACCCTTCACCACCCTTAGCCTTTCCGACATCCGAGCCACGCCACAGAAGAGCGAGCAAGTTGTCTTCTCAATCGCCGTCCGGAAGTCCGACTCGAAAACCTTGCATGCCACGCTGCTATCGCAGAAGCGTTCATTAATGCGTGGTCGCATTGACAGCTTGAAAGATGGGGTGAGTGCATGTATGGCAAAAGTCTATGTTCTTTGCCCGTTTCCATTTCTTCCTGCTATGTGACCCTCACTGATTTGTATATACTGACATGGCACACTGAGTGCGTTCATTGATGCTTGTTCTGCAGCTGTGGCTGCTGATCCTGGTTTTGGTTTTGGGGTTTTAAAAATTCAGTATTATTGCTTGGTGTCCCGGTGTTTCTGATGTTGTCACAGTTTGGCTTTATCTCTATGGATGACAGCTCTCATCCAGACAAAGAGAGTCTCTTCTTTCATGAATCAGAAGTTGTTGATGAGGAAGGAAGCGAGCCACAACCACTCGAGGTCAGTACCTTGCACAATACTCAACACACACACACACACACACATGCACGCGCGCGCGCGCGATTTAAAACACTGTGGACCCTGGCGAACGCCAAACGCCACTACAGTCCATTCAGAAAAAGATGAGCGCTGGCTCTGGAGAGCTCCTGTATTTGGCGGTTTTGTGGTACACTGCAGTCCCGCGAGATTCGAAACTTGAAAACGGGTCCAAAAACGGTACCTCAACTGGGGTTTGAACCTCAAATGTACTGTTATGCAAGTGGAGTGAACGGCCTGGATTTTCATGGTTTTACCCCAATTCAGTGCTTTGGGGGCAAAACCTGGCCGAAATCCTATTCTTGTTATGGCTTGCACTTTGGAGAAATAGACTTCAAAAACACAATTGGAAGAGCATTCCATGGGGGGTTGCCAAAAAATTGTGACGAAAACTCAAAATTTGACCCGTTTATGGCCAAAGGCTAGGGGCATGTTCGATCGGTAGGATCGGGATCCCGATCCACCTGATCCACTGGATTCGCACCCTTTCGATTGGTCGAATCCGGATCCGGATCCAACGGATCCAAATGTGACCTTTGTGCGTATATGGCGGGTAAAAATCATTTTTGTACACATTGTGGTACGCACACGTGGATGGAGATAGAGCTTGTTGGCTTTTTGTACGACGCACGCGATGAGTACGACGTTCACCCTTTTGGGTGCCTTGTGAGCGCCATTTTCAACATGGCAACAGTCAAGGTCCAAAATAAAGTGTTCAGTTGAATCTGAAGGATCCGAGGGATCTGAGATCTGGATCCCGATCCCGATCCTTACCAATCGAACATGCCCTAGGATATCATCTTCGGGAATAAACATCTTTGCTTTGTGTACATGTGCATATGGTGCAGTGGCATGTGCAGCGATTTCCAATCGAGAGGTTGCGGGTTCGATTCCTGACGATTATGGTCACACACGTCTTTCTTCTCTTTCTCAGACTCCTCCTGACTTTTCTTTCATTCTCCTGGATGGTTACCAACAGTCAGTGCATGCCGGAGTATGTGGTGTGGTGTGATGTGTGCGTGGGAAACAAATGAACTTTCCCAACAGATGAACTTTCCCTGAAAGTAGGGATTCACTGGCCAGAAAAAAGCCCCTTCATAGCTGTGTGGTCTAGACCAGGCTGAATAGTGGCAGTCAATTCTTCAGCCTTGCAAGCTGTTGAATGGTACAATCGCAGCACAAGCTGCTATGGCTTCTGCTGTAGCATCGCTATCACCGCCTCCGGCGATGGGTATCAAAAGGTCAGAAAAATGTGTATGTGCGTGTGCATGTGTGTGTGTGTGCATGGTGATCTGTAGGTTGGCGACATGGTGGAGTTCACCGTCACTTACAATCAGAAGCGTGGCAAGTCACAGGCCTGCAACGTCCACCGACTTTCGTAAGTAGTTCACTTATCCAATGTGCCGGTCGGGTCTTTTCCAGCTGCCAATACCTGCTGTCAATACTGTATAGCAGGAAATTTTCGGACGGAAATATTTTCGGACAAAGCCAAAATTCGACCTTTCATACGGATTTTATTTTCGTACTGTGCTGCATGCTAACTGCATGTGTTCACAAGCAGTACGCATGTACAGTGGACATAGTTTCACATGAACAAATTTTAGAACGGAATTAATTTTAGTACAAAAGAGGCCGTGTACGAAATCGTACGAAAATAAATTCCGTCCGAAAATTTCCTGCTATACAGTACCTTGCTAATTCATTCATGTGTTGCTCTGTTGAAAAGTATTTTTCAAGGTCTCCATGTTTTCTGACCTACAATAGGCTGGAATTGATGTGTTTGTCGTTTCCTCTTCACATGTGTTTGCGTGTGTGTGTTCTTAGTGACCAGAGACCTGACCGATTATCAAGAAAGATGGAAGCACCCACTCACCAGGGGCCAAGGTGCGTCCTTTTCACTTTTCTGTGTGCACTAGAGCCGGCAGCTTCTGCCATTGCTAAAGTGCTGCTCAATGAAATCCGATTGCTGTACAGCCGCAGACCTGTGAACACTGGGCAAATCCAATAGCTGTACAGCCGCAGACCTGTGAACACTGGGCAAATCCAATAGCTGTACAGCCGCAGACCTGTGAACACTGGGCAAATCCAATAGCTGTACAGCCGCAGACCTGTGAACACTGGGCAAATCCGATTGCTGTACAGCCGCAGACCTGTGAACACTGGGCAAATCCGATTGCTGTACAGCCGCAGACCTGTGAACACTGGGCAAATCCGATTGCTGTACAGCCCCGGACCTGTGAACACTGGGCAAATCCAATTGCTGTACAGCCCCGGACCTGTGAACACTGGGCTTTGCACTATTGCACTATTGCAGGCCACATACTTGACTCCTGTTATCGCATTTTATTGAGTAGCAGTGTACTTTGGCACTGAAAGTCTTTACATTGCACTCATGAAGTCATCTAGTCATCTAGCTTTGTAGCACGTGAACATGTAATGTCTGTAAAGTGTAAACTATGTGTATTACCAGGAGTACATGAAAACCAGAGTGTGCAGCTTGGGGTCTTTTCTGCTATGGGTGTCTGTCACGGCGGAATTCCGTGATTACATCATATTTGGCGCAGATCTGAGGCGGGAAATGGCGTAGTGCGCACAACTGAGCTGTAGTTGTGCAGAAAGAGACCCGCTTGAATCCTGCTTGTACGCACTATATCACTAAAATGATGTAATCACGGAATTCCGCCGTGACAGCAACCCATCCGAGCTGCACACTCTGGTTTTCATGTACTCTTGGTATTACATGTCAAGTGACTGTTACTGGGGTTAGAGCCAATCAGGGACCTTTCTCAGCGTGCAATATTTCTCCATACACGGGCGGATATTACACACTGTTTAATCTCTTGACCTTCCAAGTGCTTTTTCAAGTGCTTCTAGCCCCAGGAGTGATCTGATAGGTGTTAATGTGATTTTTGGTTTTGTACACGCCTTTCTTTGTTCCTTCATTTCGCACATGTACTCGTACATACATGCATGTGTGTGTGTGTGTGTGTCTGTCTGTCTGTCTGTCTGTCCTTCCATGCGTCCATGCACCCATATGTGGCCTTGCTGCTATCCAGGGTGAATGTGAGACGCCAGCCGTGCAAGCCGGACGGAACGTCTGGCTTCAGCAATATCCTGATAGATCGCACCTGCGGTGAGTACTTTGAGTGGCCAACCGAAGAGGAAAGCAGCAGCCCGCCAGCAGTCGAGGAAGAATAGACAATTTGCGAGTAAGTTATCTGCCTGAGCACACGGAAGAATTCCCTTCGTCTCACTCAATCAGCACGCTCTAGGTATCACGCTATTATAATGGAACTCTTGTGATCAGCTCTGATAGACCGGGTCAATGCCACTCCTTGCTACTGTGCCACCGGCGGCGGCGGCAGCAGCAGCAGTTCACCAAGTGACTCCATTACTGTTACTTTTTATTTGGTGAAGCTCATCAAAAAGAAGACAGACAACTGTTCATCAACACATTTGATCCGACCATTGCCGTCACACATCGATACTCTCCACGAGCCACTGGCCTATCATCAGAGCGATTAACAAACCCACAGTTGCTCCACTTCTACTATGCCACTGTCAGATTGTCAAGATGGTGATGGTGTAGACTTCACTAACCCCCACCGTACTACCTCTGTACTACCTCGAAGTACTTCACAACAGCCATGGACAAAACAACAAGAGTTCTTTGTAACGAAGAGAGCTGCACGTGTGAACGGTGCTCTGCTCAAACTTTAATGTTTTCATTCCTGTTTTATCTGCCTCCTCTGTGATGATGGCAACTGCAGCAGCGGAGACATGCTCACGGATAGCGCCACTGCTTCTGTGCTTTCACTTGCTGAGACTCCTCCTGTTTTATTTTGGGTGTGCTGCGCTCGTGCGTGCCTCTCAGATGTGGGTCAGCAATCAAAGTGGTCCCTACCTCAGTCGTCTGCAGGTACTGTACTTATTCTTGTCCTTGTTCTTCCTGACGGCGTTGACTGGCGTCTGTAGTGACTGTCGCAGTGCCAGCTGGTTTCCCTTTCTTTTCATCTACTCGTTTTCAACTTGGACTCTGCTTGTTTGACAGTTGTGCAGGTGTCAAGCATGTGACACATACATGTATGCATAGCGATCGTGCTTCCCAGCTGTTCTTGTATCTTTTCTTCTGTTTTTCCATCTCTTTGTTGTTAGTTGCCTCTCCACCCATCCTCTCTTTCTCTTCTTCCCTGGATTTTTGTTTTCATTCGAACCCCTAACCCAAGTCCAATAAGTTCTCGTTCAATCGAACCTCTAGAGATGTTTTGGCTTTAAAAGACATTCCCTTTCATTTCCTTTTTTGCATTTTTTGGCTAGACCAACTCGGTCGTGGCTCTAGCTTTATAAGAAGACCCACCCCAGTGCATGTAATGCCATGCGTCATCATAGTTCATATAAGAATGTTGATGTAATTTTGACATGTTGTTCCTATGCCGGTAAGCACGCGACATCCTGCTCTGTGCTCTCATTATGTCTTGTGTTCTCTTCTCGTGAGTAGCAATACCATTGAAGTATTTGACCTTTGCTATGCCGTGCCCGTCTCTTCAGCTTCTTGTCATCCTTTGCTTTTCATGCGCAATTAAATCTCAACTTCCGAACGTGTCCTGATTGTGGAAACTGGCAGTGTTTCTGTGCCGCCTTTACAGGCCTGAGCACTCTGCATCCATGGGACCCAGCTCTTGTTCCGTCCTGTCTAAATTGCTACAATGAAACCTGCCCTAACACAAGTACGGCACCGGTAACGGGCTGACACCTTTGCCAGTCTCCGAAGGGTACACATTCGCATGCTTGACCTCCAACATGCCAGTCTCCGAAGGTATCCACATTTGCGTGCTTGACCTCCAACATGCCAGTCTCCGAAGGGTACACATTCGCATGCTTGACCTCCAACATACCAGTCTCCGAAGGGTACACATTGGCATGCTTGACCTCCAGCATGCCAGTCTCTTTCATATCTGCATATCTCCTCTTCCACAAGCAGAATACTGTAAAAAAGTAAAGGAGAAATAAGTGCGGAGATTTCTTTCCAGTAGTAAAGCTCGAGCTCAAACTCAGGGTATGTGCAGTTTAGACTTGGTGTCTGCTCCAAAGCCGGTTCAGCGACCCAGTTGCTATGGGGTACTTGGAGCCGTTTGGAAAAAGAACACCGGGGCACTTGTTACCCGGTTGGGAATACATATCGTCGTCGTATACATAACAAATAGTTGCGGATCCCTGATGTACATGCAGTAGCCGCACTACAGTCCATTTCAAAACTATACGCGTACCTAGGCAAAAACCGTTATGCCAGCATCTATACCACATAAAATCTGTGATCACTTTGTGCATAAATTTTTCCAAATTGGGCGTCTGTTATCCAATCCTTTAGAAACTATATGAGAGTAATTGTGGAGCGATCCTGAGCAATATACCGAAAACTATTCTCAAAAAGTTCCAGCCAAATTTGAAATAATTATTTCAAAAACCCTACGCGTCTATAGTTTTGAAATGCACTGTAGAACGTACCCGGCTCTGACCCGGTTGCAAGAGTTGTGCCAGGTACACGCGTACCCGTTGGTTTGAAATCCGAGAGCAGACACTGATGTGTTGATTATGCTACCCCAGAACAAGGCTGAACTGCAGCGAGCATTTTGGATAGCTTTTGGCGAAAACAAACAACCCCATGGTTGCTCGCACCATCATCATGCTGCATCGGGACTACACAACACCTCGGACAGTCAGAGTGTGACACTCCACTATCTGTGCTGTCCTAACAGACACACACACACACACACACACGCGCGCGCGCGCACACGCACACACACACACAAGAACTTGTGTCCAACAATGCTTGGATTTCTGAAGCATTAGCTGTGAGATTCTGCTCGACAAGCATTGAAACTGGCAGGCACACAAAGCTAATGATTTATGGTTTGCAAGCCATTAATCTTGGTCCTCTTCCTGTACAATAGTCCCGTACATGACGTGTATGCACTACAAGCATGTGTACTTCAGTGCATGATTGTACAATTCCGTGATTACGAGTACCGGTACTGTAAGTCGACAAATATCTGGCGCTTATCGATTTTCGGCCTGGTCTTATTTGGCCGAAAATTTGTTGCGGCCGAAATTTTCTTTTGTAAGGTTCAGTGTGACAGTGCACACAGTCAGCAGCAGTACAGGCTAAAATGGAATGCGGTCGAAATGTGTTTTAGTCCTGGGAGGCCGATATTTGATTGGGCCGGAAGTTTGTAGACGTAGACTTACACTACAAATACGTATTTATATACACAGAATTTTTTTTTTAATTTTGACAGCATGTTACAAGGCGAGGACGCGTAGTGCTCCTGACTACAACCATAACCCGGTTGGCAGAGTCCCGGTCTTGCGACCATTTGAACCGTATTGGGAAAACCCAGGTTCGGACCCTCGTTACTCCAGGGGTTGGTACTCTGCCAACCGGGTTATGGTTGTAGTCAGGAGCACTACGCGTCCTCGCCTTGCAACATGCTGTCAAAAATAAAAAATACGTATTTGTAGTTACAGACAGTAGAATAGAAATGCTCTTTCTCTTGACTTGAGAAATGGAGTCGTTGGGTTAGACTTATTATGTATCTAATATTGACTGGGTGCGAGGTCAATATAGGAAATAAAAGCCGACTAAAAGACCGGGGCGAAGCCGAGGTCTTTTACGAGGTTTTCATTTCCTATGCTGACCAAGTACGAAAGTCAATATTAGATTTATCACCACTAGCCAAAGCCTGTGTTCAATCCCTAAAAAGGAGTCAAATATAAGCGGTCAATATAGCCCTAAGCCTAAGGAGTGAAATATGCAGGAATATTTGACTGCTTACGTATAGCAAAAATCTATGGGAGTCAATACTAAGCCTAAGGGAGTGATAACTGATAATACAAGACTAATATTATTATGATGAAGAAAGGAAAAGGACAAAATGTTACGAGTTATGACAATAACTCGTGTTATCACTCACTTAGTATTGACTCACATAGATTTTTGCCATACCTAAGGCCATGGTAAAAAATATCTTTGATTCTCAAGTACGCGCGCATCGATTTTTGGTGGCGCACCGACGATTTTTTTTATTTCTTTGCATGCATATGCGTGCATGAAAACGGTCAATGCGAAAGGCATCAATCCGGGAGTAGTAAAATACCGGTATTTTTCTACTCCCTGGCCTGAATAATAAAATAATTATAAATTAATTATGAACCTGTGACGTACACATGTGTGACCCTATCTTTGGAAATAAAAAAATTGTGGGAATTAAAATAAAAAATCGCTCGCTCGCACCGATTTCCACAGGCTCATGACCTGAGAATCAACTTTATTTTTTACCATGGCCTAAGCAGTCAAATATTCCTGCATATTTCACTCCTTCGGGCTATATTGACCGCTTGTATTTGACTCCTTTTTAGCGATTGAACACATGCTTTGGTCAGTCGTGATAAATCTAATATTGACTTCGTACTTGGTCAGCATAGGAAATAAAAGACCTCGTAAAAGACCTCGGCTTCGCCTCGGTCTTTTACTCGGCTTTTATTTCCTATATTGACCTCGTACTCAGTCAATATTAGATACATATTGGCTCACCATCCGAGTTCAACTGATATTATTAGTACTGCATGTACCGTATTTCCCCCATTAAACGTACACGTCTCCAATAGTCCTTATGCACATTGTACAGATGTACGTAGTTTTGTACTAGGGCCGTAGGTGTGTACATACCCGGTTGGGTGTTCATTGTGTGCTATACATGCGTGTTTGACCCATTTAGCCTCATAATTCGCGGCGAACAATCACTTTTCCAGCTTCTTCACTTTGGGATTGAACTAACGACTCGCTAGATCACTGTCGAAAAAGTGTTCGTACGAAATGCCTTCAGGGCCCATTTCGTTGTGGAAATAGCAATAAACACAATAGGGTCCTGCACATTCAACACCCAACCGGGTCTACGGGATTCTACGGGATTTCGTGCATCTGTACAACGTGCATAAGGCCTATACTAGTACGTCTCCAATTGTAGTACATGTTGCGGAGTGTGGATCGAAAATATAAAAGGACACGGCTCTTATAATAGTACATGCCGGAATGATGTCACATTGTGATGGGTATTACAGTTGAACATCGATTATCCGACCACCTCTGGGCAGACAACTGTCAGGCGGTGTTCAGATAAGGCAAATGTTCTGGATAAGAAAAAAACTGTCACTCACACACTTTCAGTGGTTATTACTAGCCGCACGACCTTTTTACTTTTTACTTTTCAAAATTTTCGTATTTTTTGAATGGCTCACTACATGCACAGTGCGTACTCTACGGCACGTGCGCCCAAAAAAACTGTTACGGATAATCGAATGGTCGGATAGTCGATGTGCGGATAATCGATGTTCAACTGTACTGGGGTACAGGTACCAAGGGTCCACATTACTTCGTTCTTCTTACCCATTCATCATCTTTGTGTCTTTGTACACTGATTCTTACCATGGCTGGATGTGCTTACAACCTTACAGCATCATTATCACGAGTTGTTTGCCACCCAACCCAGGCAATCAATCTTTCCAGAAACAATAAAAGTACTCCATCTCCAATACTCCTACTGAGTCCTACTGACACTGTCCTAGTAGTACAGGTCTGACCACCTTTGAAAAAATAAAAGGACTGTACATTTATTTTACTATGTACATCTGTACATACTACATGGCGTACATGCGCATTGGCGCTGGTCACCATGGCTGCTGTCGTCATAGTTGCATCATCATTTGCGTTGTGCTGTCGCTAGTGCCACGGCACTCGCGCCATGGCTGAGACACACAAGTAAGTTCACAACACTGTCAACAAACAACACAGACAACAGAGCTACCACTAAGTCTAAAGACTACCAGGCAGTGTCAGTACTGCCTACTGGCAGTAGATCTAGATCTACTACTAGTAGTAGTACTAGCTGCCGCCCAGCCTAGCGCGAGAGTGCAGCCTAGCCTACAACAACCGCTCCTCAACTCAAACTGGCTCAAGCCTCAAAATCAGTCAAATCAAACTGTAAAAAGTCACAAATGACCCACATGCACACTCCACAGTCATGTCAGTCGATGGTAGACGTCAAACTGTTTCTTGTAGTTATACTTATAGTAATTTTCAATCAGTTGTGACCAATCTAAATAAAAATTCCAAGGCACAAGTACTTAGTAGTACTCGTACATGAAGTCTTACCGAAAGCTGCCTCGGCCAAGCAGCCAGACCAAGCTCAGGTTTAGCATCGTCATCGGTTGGAAAGCCATTGATTGCCGGTTTCGCTCCGGATCGAGCATAGCCTAGTGCTAGCTGGGCAGCGAGGGCTGTACAAACACTGCACATCTCTGGGACCGTGAAATCCCAGCACCCCGGCGATTCGGCAGCTTCGTGCGTTTGGGGCAGCGATGCTCAAGATGGTAGACGGCAAAACAGCTGCTTTCCGGCAATAGCAGTGCAAGGACTAAGGAATTTCAGACAGCCAAATAGTTGTCGCCAGTTGTAAACACTATCTTGCACTGCACTGATGGATGGTACGCTCACCTACGATACCAGGTAAGTAATAAGTTAGTTACATGTGTGCAGCAAAGTGCAAACACCGCACTACTTCCGTCGGTGTAAGATCAGGGCCTAGCCTTAGCACGGGCATTTCAGCCTTCAGGTGGTCCAGTCAAATCATCATGCAAATAGGATGCTAGTGCTTGGACTGGAACATTATGAACGAAAACCCGTTTTGCACGAATTGGGTAGGTCGACCTTTGTGAAATAGGGTACAGCCATGGCCGGACCGGGTGCTACGGCCCCGAAGATGGACATACCTCATGTTTGCTGCAGCACCCTGCTTCACATACTGCTGTACAATCATGGCTTAGATGTGTGTATCAGAGACATCGGACGGTATTTTAGGTTGGTATGGCTACCAACGGAGGGGACCCTCCGCGGAAATTAATTTTGAATTTAGAGCCACACTCATTGCATCCAGGCCTAGGTACTTCCCATCTGGTCAGATTACACTCGATATTATAGTTTTGCATGTCCAGCGCAGCACCAGAAACATCCACACACAGAGAGAGAGAGAGAGAGAGAGAGAGAGAGAGAGAGAGAGAGTTCAACGGTTTTGTCTTTTGGCCACCATCAGCTGCATTTCATCAATTCACGGGGCAGATCTACTGGGAATGGAACGTGCATTGTGTTGGCAATATCGCAATACAGTAGGAACGGATGCAGTATGTGACTGATGTCCACTGTGTAGTAATGGATCGGCAGTATGTGACTGATGTCCACTGTGTAGTAATGGATGGGCAGCATGTGACTGATGTCCACTGTGTAGTAATGGATGGGCAGCATGTGACTGATGTCCACTGTGTAGTAATGGATGGGCAGCATGTGACTGATGTCCACTGTGTAGTAATGGATGGGCAGCATGTGACTGATGTCCACTGTGTAGTAATGGATGGGCAGCATGTGACTGATGTCCACTGTACATGTATACTGTACATCAGCAAGGTAAACAGCTCGTAACGCAACTCCATTGTGTGGTGTGTATTCTCATTCGGCGGCTTTGCCATACATGTACAGCTGGGTTCGTGGCAGCACAGGAAGCACAGTGGTAGCAATTGGACAGAACCTCTACTGCTATGCCAGCGGAAAGTATCTGTTCTTCAGGCATGCAGAGCCTCACACCCAGACCAGCAATGACAGCACTGGTGGCACAGCCGAAGAGGAGAAGTGGATGCAATCGTTCAGCGGCCGTCACGTCGACAAGCTTGCCGTCTCACACAAGCGTGCAGTGCTAGCCTACAGTGAGATTGGAGTGAAGCCGAGCGTGTTCTTTCTCAGCGTTAAGGAGGCCAGCGGTGCCGGAACGTTTCCATTGCCGTCAACGGATGCTAAGCCACTGTCAGTTTTGTCTGGTAAGCTACGCACATGTGGACACGTGCACAAACGTGCACACACACACACGCACAGGTACCGGTATGTCTTATGGTTGAAACTGTTAGTACAATATCATCTGTAATCAGGTTTTCAGCACGGGCCCTATCATGGTATTTACAGGACACAAACTTGGCAAGATTTGTATTGATGCCTGGGTTGTGGCAAATTGTGAATACAAGCAGTTAAACGAATGCTCTAGTCTCCATTGAGTCCAGGATGTTGTGTGTGTTGCTACTTGACTGCCAGGATGCGCTAAGCTTGAAGTGAGTTCTCTACAGTTCTCTGATACTGGTTCTCGCCTCCTGGTGCTGTCAGGTGTTCCGGACTTTGAGCTCTCCATATGGTAAGTGAGAGTCACAGTGGGGGGGGGGGGGGGGAAGAATGGAAGAGGATGATGGATGTTGTTTGGTGTTGCTGGGGAGGCTCGTGCGCATAGTGGTCCGTTTGAGGTGGTTCTATCTAGATTCTGCATGCCAGGGACCAGTTTAAGGCAATGAATGGCTGAGTGTTTTGACAAAGTGTGTGGAATTACCTGGTTCCATGACCTGCCATAAACCAGGCGGCCTACACGCTCCTGTTGATGCACTCTGTGAGAATCGTGGGTGCGTATTGTGCTATCGTTAACCTTTCTGTCATTGTGAGTTGCGCTTGTGGGGAATATTGCACTTCTGTTGGAGTTGTGGGCAATATTGCACTCTTGTAAGAGTTTCGAAGATACTATGCCAATGCCATAGTTCTGTAGGTAGAAGCGGTGATGGTGTCGGTCAAAGCTATCTTCCAGCGCGATACTATACACGGCTAGAGTGTTTACCAATGGCTTCTAGTTTCTACATGTTTCCCCTATTTGTTAGATCTCTTGTTACAGTGCCAGAGTGTAGATGTATTTCTCAGGGATGTGCTGTATTGCCTGCAGTTCCTCAGTCACTGTATCGATCATCCCACTGCCTGTAATGCACTCATTCCACTGCCTGTGCCTTGTATGCAGGGACTGGGAAGAAGGCCAATGCGTTTGCAGAACCCAGTGCCTAGAGAGACCGGTGGAGGCTTCGTTTTGCCCCACGTCCTGGCAGAAGATATGCTGTCGTGGCACCGGCTGCCTCGTTCTCTGGACGGTGGAGACGTGCGGTGCACTCTGCCAGCTGGTGAAGAGGTGAGTTCTTCCCAGTGAGCTTCTTACCCACCACCGGGAGTCCACATGCATGTCTGTATGTCACCTGCTAACGAACATCATCCTGAATGTATGCAGCGCAGCTTTCTATACACTTGGCCACTGTGTGGTTCATTTCAAACTGCGACCATCACACATGTGCTCCAGAATAGTCCTGCCCCCCCCCCCCCCCCCCCCCCCACTCCGCTTTGCAGTCAAGAATGTGTCTTCCTATTATGGCTGGGAAGTGTGTTCAGAGCAGCTAGGCTGTGTTGTTGTCTTGACCTTACACATCACATGCATGTACTGTGGTCTAATTGTACTTGTTCGGGTTGCCACACTCTATTCACTGATTGGTGTATGCAGCACTGCCGATCTCCCACGGATCGAATATAGCCAGTATCCCAACATAGAATCGGGTGGCAAGTGTGAGCGGTTGCCGCCATCCTATCACCGGCAGCTCGAGCCGATTCTGAATCGGCTCGGTGAGTTCGAGCCGAACTCGTTGCGGCAGCCACTGGTCGAGCTGACGGCCATGTGCTGGTCGCGCGACTGCATTGTTGTCTCAACGGCATGCGGCAGTCTTCTCAAGGTCACGATTGATGGCGGCAAGGTCAAGGTGGATGCGGCGGGCAGTGCACGCAATCTGTTCACTGCCGAACAGGCTCCCGTTCACCTGGCCACCAAGCCCAGTGTACCTCCCGGTGGCAGCATTCTGGCTTCGTGTAAAGTGAGTGTGTCCACACGTACACACGGCCGTCCCTATGCTACAGTGAAAATCCTGTATTACGTATCTCCAAAGGGCTGACAAAATCTGTACTTTATAGTCCGCAATGTGTTCTATCCAGGACACTCTATAAATGTGTTCTATCCAGGACACTCTATAATACTTGTGTTCTATCCAGGACACTCTATAATACTTGTGCTGAAGTTTCACTGTACCCACCGCCTGGATGACTACATGACTGCATGCTGAGATGCTGCAGTATCTGAGTAGGACTAAGACATTGGTCATTAGTGATGCTAGAATACTGCATTCATGCAGGCACTCACAGTCGGATTGTGGCTACCATGGCCGGCTGTTCTTATTCATCATGGACTGGTTCAGGTGCTTCTGTTGAGGAATGTGTGCCTGCAACTTGTATGTCACATAGTGTTGTTGATCAGGATGGCTGCTTAGCAGCTGGTAGACTGCAGTTATAAGGCTCTGCAGCTGCAAGGATGAATCAATAGGATTGTACAAGCTATCGTGTCCTTTGTGGTGCCAGCAGATGACAATGAATAGGCTCATCATCTTGTGTCTCCAGTACACATTGCTAGACAAATGCTACTGCCCGAGCCGACAGTGTGTGGTTTGAGTGGAGTTTTGTATGTCTGTGCTGGCTGCGTGGTCCTGATAGGACGGAATTCTGCGTTATGTGGAGACTGGGTCAAGCTTTCAGCTGCTCCCCACGCAGCATGAGCTGCCAAGCGAGGCTGCCGCAATGAGCTGGACTGCTGGGAGCAAGGACCTAGTGGTCAGTTGTGTCGGGGTAAGTCACGCTGCACATGTACACACGGCCCAACCATCCTGAATTGGCTGAAGGCTGTCGTTTGCTTTCCTTCCTGTGCACAGGGCGAGGTCATGCTGTGTAATAGCTATGAGTCAACACTCACAGGACTGATCAAGACGAGCAGCTCACCCATAGTGGCCATGCGTACACTCTGGCCAGGAACTGACCAGTTTGTGGTGAGTTCAATCTGCAGTGAGATTGTATTTTTTTCTGGCTGGGAGCGAGGTCAGTCAAGGGGATACCGAGCGAGTGGGATACTCACGGTGATCATCATTCATCAGAATTAGTGTGCAAGGCAGCATACAGCCCTTGACAGAGGCAGAGCACTGCCGGTGCACAGTGAGGGAGCATCGCATTACCCCACGGATACTTGTAAAAGCCGCAGTGCATGCCTGTGACTGCCAACTATGCAGATATTGATCATTGACTGAGATAATCCGAGGCTCCATTGCGAATAATGCACATTTTCTTAGAGGGCCGCCAGGCACCTGAGAACAAACAGACTTTCTAAGCATGTCATCGTGTATAACCAAGACTCTGCCAGGAGTATGGTGTCTGCTGCAGTCTCAGCACAATGTCGTGGTCGAACGTGAACATGCGAGCAGAGTACAGTAAGAATACACCCTGTGTCTTGCCATCAGTCTTTGCTGGTATGAATGGACAAGCAGCTGGATGAGTTCATGAATGGGCAAGATTGTAGATGTGTTTGTTCATTCTGGTGGTGTGTCGGTATCCTGATCTGTAGACATGTCGTGCCAATGGACTACTTGAAGTGACGGACATGCACAGCGGTACCACGGTTGCACTGTACGACCTGTCGCCGAGGATTTCACCGGCGTCGGTCACGACCATGGCGCTGTGCGCTGCCGTCAAGTACATCGTCATCGGAGACTCCACGGGAACACTGACCTACGTCAATGCTGATGCTCTGTGCGAAGGCAGCGAATGCATCTTTGATGTCCGGCGCATGCACAGCGGCCCGGTGACATCTCTCTGGTGAGTGTGCCGTGTACTTCTTGAACTAGTCCTGCTCAACACTCGTTAAACATGTACAGTCAGACCTCGCATAACCGCACACATCCGTTTTCCACGAAAAAATATCCGGATAGGCGGGGGAACCGGATAATCGAACACACATACTGCATGTATGCAGGACATATGCTGTAAATCGGTAACCAATGATTTCTTCCGGATGGCGAGGGATCCAAATAAAAGAGGAGCGGATAAGCGAGGTCTGACTGTACTATGAAGTGTATGATGCCTATTTGGGTGGTATCTAGAAAGTGCAGGGATAATTGGCGCTCGGGTGCTGTGTATGGAAACCATCGCCTATCTTTCGTATTTCTGATTGTCTAAACTGCGCAAGCACCTTGTTTGCCAGTCCTGAAAGTACCTGAAGTTCCCTGATTGTGGTAATGTACTGTAGCTACTATCCTCTGTCTTTGACAGAGTACTGCCCATGTTTTGCTCTACTCTGAGCACAGCACTATAGTGTAGCTCTGCTGTGCACGGCTGACTGCCTCTCTTTATTGACAACCTCGGTGACCTTGGTGACCTCGGTAACCTGCATGACTTGGCTGATCCATGTAACAAAGCCTATGTGAGTGTGATCGAACCAAGTCTTGCAACGGTGTATGTGTGAATGTGTGTGCGTGCGTGTGTGCATGTGCGTGCGTGCGTGCGTGCGTGTGTGTGTGTGTGTGTGTGTGTGTTTTGCTGTGTAGGTTTGACGACTATGGCTATACTATGCTTTCCTCATCCACCGATGGCAAACTGTTTGTCTACTCGGCAATGCCGTCCAGCCAGTTTGAGGTGCTGTTTTTCGTGCGTAAGTTCTAGGTTGGGAGTAGTCGGTGCCGAGCCTATTCATGACAAGGATAAACATGGAAGTAACTCCAACGGCGCAACAGCATCTGCTAGAGCCTGTTTCGTATCCTGTTTTATCATTGTGTGTCTATCCACAGCGCTTGCCGAGAATGTTGTCAGTATCTGCTGCAGTCCGCTTGGTACTGATAAGAGGCCAGATCAGTTGGAGGTGTTTGCTCTGCTGGAGTCACAGAACACCGCCGTTGCTGGCCAGGAGGACAGTGTTTCGCAATCTGCCGTGAAATGCAAGATCCCGTGTGGCAGTAAGGTGTTGAAGCTGTGCGTACCAGTCTCCAAGCAAGCTCTTGATGGTAAGCAGACTTATCAGTAAACCCGGCCCATGCAAGTTGTTTATCACCATCGTATTCTTGTTCACTAGCTATGCTATTTTGCTGTGCAGACAAATACTGCCATGGTGGGGAAATCATTTCACTATTGGAATCATTTTACTGTTGGAATCATTTCACTATTTCCAACTAACGAACATACCTTCTCTGCTCATTTCCCTACACTGTGTCGCCTAGCTCTGCTACCACATTTGGACAATACGCTGTGTTTGGATTTTGAAAAGTATGCTGGCGTCGAGTACGTCACCCTACCCGAGCCATGCACGGACATATGCATGACACGCGAGCAGGGTGAAGAAGACTCGCTTCTTGTTGCAACGAGTGCTGCTCAGCTCCATCTGCTAGTCTTGATGACAAACCCGGAAGAAGCTCCCTTACCGGTCGAACCCAAACAGTCAACCGAAACACCTGTTGATGAACTGGATGAGGAACAACCGAAGAAGGCGGAAACTCCTGCTGCTGCTACACAGGAAAAACTAGCTGAATTGCCAGTGCTGACTACTCTGAAATGCCCACAGCTTGCCGGTGGCTACTTGCAGCGGTCTCTGCGTGGAGACTGCGTGCTGTCCTACGGCTTGGATGGACAGATTGCGTACGGACGTGTGCGTGCATGGGTAAGTGTGTGTGTGTTTGTGCTTGTGTGTGTGTGTGTTACTGTCACAGTTAATACAGTGCCTAACAGCTTGTATTGTAGTTGCTCCCTCTCTAGTGCTTTAGTCAGGTTGACTAGTATTTTCTGAAGTCATATTTGCTTTGAATTTATGAAGAGTAGCATTCAGTCATGAAATGGTAGCTATCAATGCCGGATGATGTTTATAATTTGCTAATGGGAGCTGGGCTAGGTGGTGTGGAAGCTGAGTTAGTGGAAGCTGGGCTAGTGGGAGCTGAGCTAGGTAGTAAAACGCACTGTGCAATACACCATCATCGTACCTGGTCGAACGGCATAGTTACATGAGCTACAGTACGTCTTGCTTCACACTGTGCTCTGTCGGCTTGAAGCAGTTGTCATGAAACGTGCAATGCGTGCTAATCCAATCTACATCTGAGCAGCTCTTAGCCTTACCCAAGCAGGTGGAACAATTTCGACTCGTACATATGTACACAGGCATGCCACCTTGCTTTCTTACTGCTCTGGCCTCGTCTGAAACGGAATGGACCAGGCGATAGAACAGACTAAGATACCATTGATTGTGTTTGTGGTACGTAACTTATGTTCGTTTTTTAATAGGATAAGCATTGTAGCATGCTGACGCACAGTCCACGGACGTTGGGATGCAGGTTCGCCTGCCTGAGCTGGGACTGCAGGGACATTGCTACGGCCGGTGGCGATGGCATCCTGTCATGCAAGTCACTTGTGTGAGTTGCTTGCATGCAAACTTTGACATTCTCTGAGTCTTGCTTGAGAGTCAGCGTGTGATGCTGCAGTTGCCAGGTTATTTTGCATACAGTGTTGTTGTGTATACAGTGTTGTTGGTGCTTGCGCACATTGGTGCCGTGTTGGTGCCGTGTTGGTGCCGTGTTGGTGCCGTGTTGGTGCCGTGTTGGTGTCGTGTTGGTGCCGTGTTGGTGTCGTGTTGGTGTCGTTTTGGTGTCGTGTTGGTGCCGTGTTGGTGCCGTGTTGGTGCCGTGTTGGTGCCGATGCTAGTTGTGAGTCTCTCCTGCCCAGTTGTGTTGTTCCTGTCCTCAGTGTCAAGATTATCTCTTTCGCTGTAGCCCGCATATCGTCGTTAATCTGAGTGTACGGATGACACAGGGTTTGGGATCAGTGGGATTCTACCAATCACAACAGTGTTACCGAGAGGTGGACAGTCATGCGTGCATGGTGGGAGTGTGGGGCAAGCAAACCACACCGTGATGAACCTGTTGACCCCGAACTAACTGGTCATGTATACACGGATCAAGAGTTTTCAGTCATGGAGGTTCAAAGTGCGTCAAAACTTGACATGTTATTATGTTGTGTTGCTGCTTGCACCAAAACTACTACAGGCCCTCATCACCGGAAATCCGCAAGCTCAATGCCGATCTCGTGGGTTACTATCGCCAAGCAAAGCAGCTGATGATTGATGTGCAACAAGACCAGTTTCCGGTGATCGAGCAGTTCGCAGTCGTTGAGTCAGGTTAGGAATCTAACGTGCCGTGGCAAAACCTCCTGCTTGGTTCAGCTAGCATTTCCATACAAGTCGAGTTAGTTGTCAAAATGGTAGAGATTCTTTTCCACTGCATGAGCATTCTATGATATCATCTATTCCATGAATGTAGCAGATTCTTGGTGTCAGTGTGTGTGTGTGGGGGGGGGGGGGGGAGACCACTCTGTGGTTAGCTCGATCTGGTCACCTCCCTGGGCTTTGCAAACCGCATCTGACACCTTGATCCTTGAGCCAGGTGGTGGTGGTATTCCTGCACTCGGATGCGGAAGCGCCTAGTCTGGTTGGATATCATGCACACTCACACAGTCACATCTATTTTTGTTCTGTCTCTACCTCTCTCCAGGGTCCAGTGCACTGGTAGATGTGCAGAGTGGAATGACATGGATTGAAAGGCGCATACAGGCGGTAATGGCTCTATAATCATGCTTCAGTCATGGATGATTTTTTCAACCGACTTCAGTAATCCAGAGGAAGAGCAGGATTAGCACAGTGACACCACACTGCACTCTGCTCAGAGTCGTAGAAGCAAACTGATTTCCGTGATTTGCATGTGACCCATCAATTCAGACTCGGGGAAGGTTGTTGGGTGGATAGACAAACAATTTTCAAATTACATGTACGTTATTGGTGGTTTAGGTTGGAATTCCATTTTATTGCGGCAGCGGTACGAATAAGCACACATCTAAACGTGGAGTAGCTAGCCACGTTTGATTGTTGTGCAGCTCTGCCCACTATTCATGGATGATGTCATACTGATGTCAATCAATTCCAAGGACCGTTGATGTCATTGGTGGTACGGTGTGGCTGTGAACTCTATATTTTTCAGGAGAACCGCAAAACAGAAGAGAAATTCTCGGGCGAGAGGAATGCGCTGCAGGCCGACATTGACAAGCTGAGAAAGAAGGTGAGTTGGAAATACATTGCAGGGTTAGAGGTATTGGGATGAAGGGAGAACTGGCACATGATAGTGGGACAGGATTACTTAGGGGGAAGTGCATAGATTTTTCAAGTAGAGTCCAGAAGAAGTGCAAACGTATGTCTCACCCGAACTTACCATGTACAATGTTGCTGCTGTCCTTGTCGTCCCTGCTGCAGTTGTTGGAGTTGATAGCTGACAATGAGACAAAACCTGACTTGGAACGGCTAGACAGAGGCGAGTTCAACCTGGATGTTGAAGAGTCCAATCGTCTCATGGAAGAGGGAAACAAAACGGCCCAGGAGGTGGGTATGGGGTATTATGAATTGAAGGTGTTCTTCACCTTGGAACATTCGTCAGTTACCTGGTTAAGAGGCCTATGTCATAGGCTTTCTTTTCCTGTATGTGGTCTCTGTGTAGTGCCGAGCCTGCGTGTGTTTGGATAGATCTAGGCATTTGCGATCTGGATCTTCCTCAGCTGATTCTAGTCTGCGCAAGCTCAGCGCATTGTGTAGACCGATAGGACAATGACTATGCCAGTAATGCGTAACACTGAGACTGGGTTTGCATGGTGAGGAATGGAGCACTCTCTTATTCAATACTCAGTCCCTTGGTGCTGCTGTGTTGCTTGCTATGCTCGGCAATGATCAGGTACGCGAGGAGTTGGAGCTGAAGAACATAGCAAACGAGTACTTCAGCGAGCTGATACGCAAAGAGTGCTGGGAGAACATGGAAGTGCCTGGCAAATCTTTGAAGGTGAGTTGTCTAACAACTTGCAGGCGTGCCCTTCAAAGTCCATGTTATGATCATCAACGTTCTATGGTGCAATGATAGGTTCTATGGTGCAATGATAGTGATAGGCCTTGCAGGCAAGAGCTGCCTTACAGTGATGTCAGTGATGTTTTCACATAACCTGCTCACTTGCCGAACAGCATAGATACACGGCAGGCTTGCTGCTAGCTAGCTATACTAGCTGTAGTTTGTAATGTGTAAGTGACTACTTACGCCTCGGTTTGGTGCAAGCCATGGACGCCGGGGTGTGTGACCATTGCTCTGCGTTTGTTTGTCTTCTATCGCATCCTTTCCCAGGCGTTTCTCACCAGCACGGAAGTCTCCAACTTTGTCCTCTCCAAGGAAGAGCCTAAGTTCGACGTGGAAATTGCGTATCTGCTGCAGCAACGCGAGCATGAGCTTGCAGAGCTGAGAGTAAGAACTGCATGTTGACCGGCTTTTTTTATTTTATTTTATTTTTATTGAAAAACCACAAAAACTTCAGACATGTGAATGTGCACATGATATACAGTGTACATACGTATGTATCGAGAAGGCAGCACGGAAACGGCAGTGGTGGTGAGGCCTGGGCAGCTCGTCCGACCGTGGGTCTCGGAGTCAACACTGGGCAGACGCACCGGGGGGTGGTAGCTTAGGAGATAAGGGATGGAGCCAGCGTGATCATAGTATGTAGTGCATGTGCAGAAGTAATAATTATGTTAATCTTAAAAACAATATGGCTGACTCTGCTCGGGCAGTTTTGAAGAATGCAAGATGCGCTACCGTACTTTGTAATTGACGGTTCCGTGTAGACGGCGCAAGTGGCTGTGCTACGGGATGTGATAAGGGCGCAACACATAATTAATC